CTCGACGCTAAGCAAATAAAACTACCGACCAAAAAATGAAGCTGAAAGAGTTAGGAAGCCGGGAACTGGGAACTGGAACACCAAACCAAATACCCTGGCAACCCTGCCAAGTGGGTTACATTTAACAGACTGTTGCTTTCCCCCCTCGCATGGCCATGTCACTGTCTCTTTTCCCTTTTATACAGCCATCTCTGTCTCTATTTTGTTGTTGTTTTGTTTTTTTGCTGCTCAATTTAGTCCATTGGCTTCAGGTTGTCCCTTGCTGCCAGACAATCACTCACGGCTCCTTTTGCAAGGATATTCGGGGTTGAAAGTGCATGACACACAATATATTACCTGACCACCCCCGCCTGCCGCTCCAAATCGCGATACCCTGCCGCCTTCACCACCCCCATTGGCATTAACATGCACATATAGAGGTGAACCAGAATCGTTTTTGTGGTTAACTCGGTGGTTTACGGTTTCACATACTCTGTTTTAACCTTAACGTTATGACGTCCACCTTTCCACTATCCCACTCTCTCTCTCTATCTTTCTCTTTCTCTGGTTGGCACAGCAGGCCTTCTAATAAATGGGGGCCAACAGGGGGCGTGGTTGCCCATAACTGACCGCATTCAAAGAGCTGGCCTCCATTTAGACTGTTTTGTCTCCAATTAATGGCTGGCAGCTCAAAGAAAACCAAATTACACAGAGAAAAATAGTTAATGGTTCAAATAAATCAAATATATAAATAATTTATACTTATGTGACTTAAAAATGAATTAGATCTTTAAAAATTATATAGAAATTATAGTTTCAGGTTGAGACTTTCAATGGATGCTATTTTTAGGCATCTGTAGGAGGATATCCTATATCCTCTTTGTAGGAAAAACATCTACTATATATTTCCTATCACATTCAGCACATATTTTCCTTATAATATCTATCATAGATGAAAGATCAATCCAAGACAGAAATAAACAATTTTTCTATGAAATATTTTAACCAAACTTTTATACAAAACTCTAATTTTTTCTCAGTGCTATGACAATCTCGGATATTTAGCTTTTTTATGGCATACAGCTTCCGCATTGTCAGGGGAGGACAGGCGCTATGACATTTTCCCCACAGATGTCATCGAGATGATATTTTAATTCATTTAATTAAAAGTTTAATTACGTTTTTGTTTTGCGCCGGATTCGCCAGCCATGAACTCTCCGCCGTGACATCTGCAATGCCCATTAGGGCTGTAAAAATATTATAACACAGTCTCCACAAAAAAAATAAAATAATAATAAAAACATTTTCTGGCCACTAATTTTATTTTGATTTTCAGATTTCGGTTTAGATTTCGGATTCCGATTTGGTCATTTCCATGGTGGACAGAAGAAACAGACAGACGTTGACGATTTAATTAATTCGAGATTCGAGTCCATCAAACAAAAGCTACAATAATAGAAAGGGAATCCAGCGGAGCGCGAGTACAATGAAAATTTATTTGATTCAACTGTGAGAGTCAACCACCCACCCACATATAGTGCCACCCACTGGGCACTTGTATTGAAGCTGCCCCTGCCACAGACCCGGCTGTACTCCCGGCTGCCCCACGGAGATGTTCGATGTGTCTGGGTTGAGCTTGGGTTTATAATTCTGATCACGTAACTTGTGTGTGTGCCACCAGCACTTTTTCATTTTCATTCACTTAGGCTGACTTGGCTCTATAGAGGGGGGGATTTGGAAAGACAGGGGGCGGGGTTGTTCTCTGGAAACCTATAGAGTCCCTCGTCTTATAATGAAATGATTTCTCTTGACGCTTCGCCGATTTGCGTGGGTTGTGATTTCTTGCTCTGGTTGCTTCGAGCTTTGGGCTACTGCCTTTTGCTTTTTGCTTTCAGAGACGGTTGCGGATCATTAACCCACTACCGACCAACTGACATTGAACTGACACCACCAGACACATATACCTACACACTCACGATGTGCGTAGCTGACTTGGACTTGGACGAGTGCCAAGGAATTCGATAAGTTGTAATTCAATTAAAGTTTAATTGGTCGGCAAGGAAATGGCGTAACTTGCACAATGAATATTTTATAACATTTCAAAAGTCCAATTCCTGCCAGGCACTTGTTTGAATTCAATTAACTTTAAATTTTGGCTTTCATGGATCTTTAGATTAATTACTTAGTTATGCTTTTTAAAGAGTTCATCTCTTATTTTCCATTAAGTTAGCCCGAAGAAGAACTCTCCTCTTGGTAAAGTTAAACTTTATCGAAAAAGTAAAAACGTAGTTTATGGCAGAACATTATTAATTTCCAGCCAGGAGATTACCAGCTCATGCATATCTTTTAGCCATCGTTAGAACTCTTAGAAAAACTTGCAGTTAGAGAGTCGGGCCAGGCGGAAAATCACGCAACCTGGAAACTGGAAATAAAGGCTTGTTGCCAAAGCTGTCGACAGCGTAGTTTGCACCTGCCACATGCCGGCTGCCACCTGGCCGCCCCCTTTCGACCGCCTTTTGTTGTCCGCGTTCCACATGCCACACGCAATCTAATTTGGTCTCGCAGAAATACATGGAAATACGTGATAAGCGAGGAAATGGAAAAATGAAAATTAAGGCCAGGCCACGCCCGTTCGAGTGGCCCATCCACGTTCTTCCCATCCCCTTTCCCGAAAGGGTTAATATAACGCAGCGGTTATAATTCCCCCTAATGTACTAAGCTGACTAATCCGATAAAAGGCGGTTTAAAGTGCATACAGTGAGTGTACTGCGACCATTCCTAATGATTCTTCTGGAAAACTCGTGTCACATACTTTTGAACATGGATCTGCGTATTTTCATGCCACAGAGGCAACACGGGCAACACAGAGGCAGCGGTAGCAGCAGCTCAAAGCAATTATTTCGAGGACTGAAGCTCCTTGCTGGGATTTATGCTCGTTATTCCGTCAGTCGTCAGTTGGAATATGTATGCACAAGGTACATGGTACAAGGATGGTATGGACCAAGCCAACGCTCTTCTGTGCATCTTCAAGCTGAATTCCCCGACTGAATTATTCATGCCTTTTGTCGCTTCACGTTGCTGTTGCTGTTGCTATTGCTTCTGCCAAGCCTGGCTCAAGGGTGGCTGCATCCTTGAGGGTTGGCCCGGGCAACAGGCAGTAAAATCCGCCACCCCCCTTTTCAGCCAAAAAGCTTTCTCCTCTCGGCTTTGTGCATTTGCCAGTTTCACGCAGAAGTCATGGTCCAAAAAGGACAAAAAAAAATACTTAAAGAAATAAATTTATGGTTGAAGAAATAAAAAGAAAGATTGCATTTAAGATATAGAGAATTTGTTCTTTTTTTAGGGCAAAATTATTTATATTTTTCTTAGACTAAAATCAACTATATTTTTTTTTGCGTGTAATCCTTTATCCGCCGGACAGGAAAACCCATTGTAGCTGTTGCTCGCTGCCAAATCCGAAAGCAATTTCTGCTGCATTAATCATCCCCTCCCCTCCCATACTGACTCGCTTATCTGCTGGCCGTCCTGGCCATTTCGGGTTAATGTTGACAAAACGCATTTTAAGCACTTCAGCTCTCGCCTGGCTTTATTTTCTTTTGTTTGGCCATCAGCCGACACTTTTCCAAATGCCTAGTCCTCGCACATGTCCTGTCTGTTTGATTGTGATTTGAGTTTTCTCCGGCCAGCCAGCTGAAATTTGCATTGGAAATGTGTGTGCATGGACGACCGACCACACACGGAGAGATATCAGCATCCTGGCCAACGGGCCTGAAGCCTTTTCCCAGCCCGAAGTGCAAGTGGCCGGCAGCTACCGCTTTTGTCCACCGGCCACTTTTCCATCATTGTTTGTTCATCATACTGGCCTGGGACGGGATCCCCTCCAAGGATATCATGTGTGTTATTCCTGTGTATGAGCTTGTGTGTGTCTGTAAGCCTAACCTTTTGAAAAAGGTTGTTTATGGCCTAGAACGTAGGCCATATAATCGAAAATCTCTGAAGGTGGCGAGGGATGAAATTGAAAAGGCCAGGTTTTCTAAAGGCCATAATTTTCTTAAATTATAGGTCCCCAGTTTTCTACCATTTCCAATTACATTTGATCTAATTTGTTGGGACAATAGCCCAGAGGAGGATGAAATTGGCATCAATTAGGGTGGCCTATGGTGTGTGGAGGTTCCAAATTTATAAAAATAAATATTTTTTTGGCTTAAGCTTTTGTTATAGCTATTTTAGTTTGTAAGATTGACTGATTTAGTCAGTTATTCTGGTTAAAAATACAATTTTTTAATTAAATTTTTGGTGGCCCAGTTGAACCACAAATTGTTGGAATTATTTGGAGTAATTTGCTAATTTGTACTCTCCATTGACCGAGATAGTTGGCGGCCATTCTTTTCTGTCAGCAGCAGCCAAATAGGACCAATTAATATTCATTTGAGCCAGGGACCTCGCCTCGAATGGAATGGAAAATGGAAATCTTTTATTTGGCCAGCAACTTTTCGCGTTTGTTTTTCTTTTTTTTCGGTTCGTACCGCTTTTCCCAGTTTGGTTTATCCGAGTTTAGTTTTGGTTTTGTTCTGTTATGGTGGGTGGGGGCCAGAGTGGGCCGAGGGGGTTAGGTTTGTTATTCCCCAGTTTGCTGTTGACGTTGTTTCTCAGGCAGGCTGCAAATGCACGACAAATTAACACAGAGCTTGGCAGCGCAAAAAACCCCAAGCGAAAGAGACAGCCAGAGACCACTAGAGAGAGAGAGGGCCACAACAAAAGAGTCTAACAAAAACGGAAAACGAAATGCCATATCCTTCTTAAAAAAAGGACACCAAAACTGGCGGAGGGGAGGAAAGCCACGCCCGCGGCTTGCTTGCAACAAAAAAAAAATTAAAAAAGTGGGGAAAAGCGGAAAACTAAAACTCTGTCACTTGCTGCTCTGTGAGATTTGGTGGGAAAAAAAATAACAGTTGTGGTCGTGGGGGTTCCCAGCATAATGCAGGTGTCTCCAACCCATTACACCCCCTTACTCTTCTCACCTTTAGACTTCCATTATGTGTGGCTCAACGCACAGTGGGCCTTGTTTCTTTTTTCCTCTCTGGGGGATTTTCCTTCGTGAGATTTTCGCACCACAAGAAAGCACTTGTGTTTAATTTTTACTTTCTTTTTCTTTCTTTCTTTTTATTTTGCTTTTTGGCAAGTCACTCTGTAAAATTTTATGACTGGCTTTTGATGCTTTTCCGACTTGTATTTGTATTTTATGGTTATTTTCAACCCCCGTCTTCACTTCACTTAACCAAATTCGAAAACACTACACTGCACTACACTACTAATGCTACGCCTACGTCTAGCTACCGTAGTTTGTACGGCCGTAGGTTTACCGTTAACGCTTCTGCACTCGCGAGCGTCGTTCGTTGGACTGGCGAAAAAGAAAAAAACAACGCCAACGCTGGCGAGAAACACACACAATCGCCCATTTCACAATTGAACTTTGTTAGTTTCTGCGGCAAGGTGAGCCGAGCCGAGCTTTTACGACCCCTCTCGCGGGAGTCGCGCTTCGGCCTCCGCCGCTCACTGTCTCTGTTTTTCTCCAGCCCCTTTCCCAGGCCCACCACCCCCCGGGTCTTTGCCACATTTGGCAAACAGCCGGCGCAACGCAACGCCAACGCAACAGAGCCGCCGGCCGAGCAAGCTTCCACCTCCCAAAAATGGCAAACAACGTGTGGAGAGGGGGGTGGAGGGGGGTGGGCGACTGCTCATCGGCCATGGCCAACCCCCTCGGGCCAGCGGTGCTCTCGTAGCCACCCTACGCGCATGCCCGAGAGCCCAGCTTCAAAGCTTCTCGTCTGGCTCGGGGGTGCACTATGGGGAATTTGGCCGATTTCATGGTATTAATTAATAACTTTTAAACTAAGTAAAATTTTTCGAAACGGTTTTTTTATTATTGTTATAGACACCGATAGGAATGTTTTTAGAAAAATGGGCGTGGCTCCGCCCCTTCCCTGACGAAATATTATTTATTAACTATTTAACTAAACAAGATTTTTCGAAACGGTTTTTTGCATTAGGCTTATGAAGATCGTTGGAAATATTTTTTGGTAAAATGGGCGTGGTTCCGCCCTCCCATTTGGATAAATTAATCAATAACTTTTTAAACAAATAAGATTTGTCAAAACGGTTTTTTTTTATTATTCGCCCTCCCAGGACTAGAAACAATTTTTTTTTATTTCAAATAGAAAAATTGATAAAGTGAAAACCAAATAATACACTAATAAGTTTATCAAATATTTTCATTTTCAAGGTCTTCGTCTGACATAAAATAAAAATCGTCAATTTCATCTCCAATTTTCTCAATTTGATCCTGGCCTTCAAAATTGTACAATAAAAGGCTTAAAACTTCTTAAGGAAGTTCCATACTTTTATGCTTCCGAATTCGATTCATAGGGTTTGTTGAAGAAATAACAGGATCAGAAGTATCAAAGGCTCTGTTGAAAACATCCATGAAATTATTAACACGACTATGCTTCCGTGGGTTATGCAGTCTATCTTCTTTATAACTTTTTTTGCGTGCTTGCGACGCTTCTTCTCCGAAACAGCCAACGGGAAGTATTGTATTTTCCATAATTTTCCTTGAGTGGACAATAATTTTGTGAACAGTTGCCGTCATTGGCAACCATGGATAACAATCCACAATTTGTTCCCCAGTTTTAAAACAAAATTGTTCAAATTTCTCCAAATCAATTGGCAGTTGACAAGACAAGAAAATGAATATAACTCTTAAGTTCCGAATTTGCAGGCAATTTGCAAACTTCTTCTCAAAAAATTTTTTTTTTCTCTTGCAGATCTTCCATTTACCATTTATATTTAGGCAAAATAAGCTATTCTTTTTCAAATTGTTTTTGTGTTTTACAACATCCATGTTTCTACTTATTTTGCTCGAAATAAAATCAAGAATTGATCTTTCTTGGTTTGAGTTCTTCGTCTTCGTACGCCATACTTCAAAAAGCTCCGCGTTCGAAAACTCGAAGACACCTGACAAAAAACGAAATTACGCAGATTGTGCGCATTTTTGCACATTGAGACAAATTTCCTTTTATTCATAATTAATGGCTCTACGACATATATTAAACTTACACTGTTGCAACGATATGTTTTTTTTGTAAGTCTACGTAAAGTTAATTTTTTTTTTCAAAAAATTACCTTTTAAACCTGTTTTAAAATTGACTAAATATTATTAAGACAGGCACATAGCAAAATATTAGTACACAAAACATTTAATACAAGCCAGTATGATTGTTTTCCATCATAAATTGAATTAATAACTTGTTAAACTTTTAAGTATCGCACTTTCAAAGTAGCTAACCAAAAACTGCCTCTTCTCAAACACGTGCCTTTGGGCTGCAACAGCTGACTTTAACAGTGCAAAGCTTTAAAAGTGCACTGTTTATTAATATTTTTGGTATGGAGTCATATGGAGCCATATGTTTTTAATAGGTTTACATAAAAAAAACCCAAATATTTAAACTTTGATAAAATGACTAAATACCATGAAATCGGGCAAATTCCCCATAGTGGGGTGGCCCGCCAAGGGTGGGTGGTTTCTGGCGAATCTAGTAGTACAGTGTTTACTCCAATATTTAGTAAATATTGCCCTATTATAGGGTAATTTTAATTCCAAAAGCCATTGATTACAAAATAATAAAAAGTGTAAATACAGAAGGTCTAGTTTTTAGGGGTGAACTGGGAATAAAGGGGATTTGAACCTTGCTAGTGGGATTATAACACATTCTTCTAAATAGTTTTAGATTTTAGAAAAGAAAACAAAGAAGATTTTGAATACTTTCTATTGAAAAATTCTATCTTTCATAGAAATTTAAAACATAATTTTTTGAAACATAAACTTTTAAAAATAAATATATTAATACCACAGTTTCAAACTCTTTCTAATAAAAATTTATATTTAATAGATAATAAATATAGAATAAAGTTGTTTAATATTTTCCTCAAAGTAGCCTCCATGGAGTTTTTACTGTATCAGAATATGTTTTCGAGAACTGCGTAGGGTGGCCCATCTATGGCATCGAGTGGGCTGTTTTTATATGCTGTCGCATTGCTTATTTTGGCCAATGTTATTGTTGGATTTGTTGTTGTTGTGACTGGCATTAGTGTTGTTGCTGTTGGTGTTGTCGAATGTGCACTTTGTTGAATGTGCAGCGGCAGTTATTGTTGCTACAGCTACTGTTGCTGCTGCCGCTTCTGATGTTGCTGCCGCAGCAGAAGCCCAAGCAGCAGCAGCAACAACTGCAAATTGCCTCGCAGCATTTAAGTCGAATTATGAAAGTATGTGTGGGTGCGGGTTTGCATTTCCACCCTCTGCAGGATGGCCCTCGCTCCAAAAAATAATACCTCCTGCCCTGTCTTGCGGCGCCCCTTCCTAGAAATCCTAGAAAACGCGCCCGAGGGACTACGAATACGCCTGCATTTTAATTAATATTGATTGTGAGTTATTTCCAGAGGGGGGAGGGAGAGGAGCATCCGGCGCGGGCAGCAGGTGTGTGGTTTTAATTTAGTTTTCAAAATATGTTTGTTTGTGCCCCCAACACACACACACACACACACTATCCTGCCCCCACACGCTGGCATACAGATTTTTGCGGCCAAAGCCCCATAACCCACTTATGTGCGGCGAACATCCAATACAACATGGTTGCAGATAAATGTTTGCCTATTACAGGGTACACAAAGTCAGAATCCTCGCTCTGATATCATGCAAATTGGAGGGGGCGGTGCTAGCCAACAGCGATGCCAAATTTGCATTTCAATTCAACAGTCGCCGGCTCACTCATCCTTGCACCACCCACCCCACCCATCCAGCCCACCCATCTAGCCACCCATCTCTGCCGTCACTTACTCCTCCTTGCTTTCTGTTTACCTTGCTCGAACAGCTTCGCTTTATTTTTTCAGCTCGGCTTTAAGTGTGATTCAGTGTTGCGCTCGACAGCGCGGCAAAATGTGCACGTGCTGCTACAGCCGCAAGGCTGGAAATGCTGCAAAAGGGTCACAGGAAGGCAGGCCGGGGGGCAAGGACATGAGTAAGCTTAAAAAGTGTCCAAAAGAAAGTGGGCTCAAATGTGAACTTAACGTATGTTGCAGGGGGTATCGGTTCCACCAACTGATATTTACCTTTGTGTTGCATGCAAGAATTAAGCAATTCCATGCCACATTCAACGTTTTCAGGGAAGATAATATTTATATTTAATTGTAATGGGAAACTTTTTGTAAATAAAGATAAAAATCTGGTCTTCATTTCTTTAAATTTCTAGAAAAGACACCTATTTCCATAAAGTTTCATCATCTCAGCATCTATCATCTTCTCTCAAATTCTATTTCCTTATTGTTTTCTGTTTTAAAATACGAGCTCTAAGTAAAAATTATTAACATTATCAAGTAATTAAGAGTATCAACGTTAAAATAAATGTTTAAAAAAGAAATGGCGCTTTTTGAAATTCGTATACTTTTATTCTACATGACAAGAAATTTATTTTACACCAAAAACAGAGTTGCCAGATAGACAGCTTACTTCTGGGGAATACCCCTATTTATGATGAAAAATCAATAAACAGACACAATAACTTGCTGTAGGATTTTCCAACGGCACGAACAATTAAAATAAATAGAAGCATTTATAAGAATCTTTTAAAAATTTTCTGTTTATACTATCGAATATTCGATTACTACTTATCGGTTCTTGATATATTCTTATATATTTTCAATTAAAAACTGCTAATATTTAGGCGAAATTGAAGCTTCTTTTAAAAAAAAAGGATAAACTCTGTTTTTAAATAAAACTTGTGGAAAAAAAAGATAGAATAAAAACCTGCTCAGGAGTCAGATTATTATTAAAGCCAAATAAATGCGTTCAGCAATGACACAAACCGCATTTTTCGATACATGGCCAAATCCTTAAGATGATTTTTATGCACAACATATCGATAAATTGCATTTTGATATATTTTCAACAACCCTAATTTTTTTAAGAACTTGCTGCTAAAAATTAAAGGTAAACGTAATGGGGAAACGGCGGACGCAATCCCTGATGGATTCCAATTCCAGCGACAGTGACAGTGAGTCCGACACCAATCTGGAATCGGTGAGTAGGCATTTGGGCGACAAGAAAACCTTTGCGAACCTTTTCGCAGCGGCCATTATGAAAATCAATGCGCTAGTTCCAAACCCACCTTGTTTTAACAAATTTGTTACGTATACCATCCCGTTCAGGATCTGATGTCCTTGGCCAAGAAACGCAAGAAGCCCGCGGCGGCGGCAGCCAAAGCGAGTTCCCGCTCCGACTCCGATTCCGATTGGGCCAACAACAAAGCGGGAGCTCCAGCCTCTAAGAAGAAGAAGCGCCAAAAGAAGGCCAGCCGAGACTCTAGCTCCTCGGAGTCGAATTGGGACGACGACAGCCAGGATGAGGCCCAGCCGCAACAGCAGCAGGCACCGCCTGCCCAGGTGGAACCCAAACCCCAGCCGGTGGCGGCCGCGGCTCAGTCCGCCCAGCTAAGCGAGGCTGAGGAGGGCGAAGTATCCGACAGCGATTCCGATAAATCCAAGTCTTCATCCTCTGGCTCCGGGTCGGACTCCTCCAGTTCGTCGTCCTCTAGCTCCGACTCCGAGTTCGATGATGGCTACGATGACGACCTGATGGGGGACGAGGAGGACCGCAAGCGTCTCAATGGCCTGTCGGAAAAGGAACGTGAGACGGAGATCTACAAGCGTATTGAGCAGCGTGAGATCATGCGGACTCGGTGGGAGATCGAGCGAAAGCTGAAGCTGGCGCGGCGGGGCGAAAAGAACCAGGAAAAGTCAAAGACAAAGGGCGAGCGGGCCAAGAAGAAGAAAGAGAAGCGGGAAAAGAAAGCAAAGAAGGCCAAGGAATCGCTGCCTCCTGTTCAGCCCCCGGTAGCCATCTCTTCTCTGCCCGCTGTAGAACCTAAACCCATTAGCGAAGTGAAGGCCGCTAGTCCCTTGTCGTCACCAGCTCTCATTCGGGAGATGGCATCCACCTCGGCAGCGGTGGCCAGCATATTGCCTGAAGACCAAGCCGCCGGGGTAGGTGTAGCTGACTATTTCGATCACAAAGAACGCTCCAAGGAACGCAAGAAGAACGTGGAGGCGAACAAGACGGACGACAAGCGCAGCAACGCAATGGCTATGTTGAAGGCCAAGCGCGAGGGCAAGGCCAAGAGGGGTAAGATTTCTAAGCCTATTTCTAATTGCACCAAGGTTTCTCAAACTTTGTATTCTATTCTTCTGCAGAAGAGGAAGAGGCCAAGAGAGCGGCCGAGCGAGATCGGGACGACGACAAGGAAGAGCTGGAAAGCGTATCCGGCTGCAAGTCGGCTGTGAAACTGAAAGCCTCTGAGATCTACTCAGACGACTCGGGCAGCAGTGACTGGGACGAGGACGAGAAGCCCTCGGGAAAGCGGTCAAGGTCTAACAGCAGCAAGGCCTCCAGCGAAACAGAGGACGAGGAGAAGACAACCAAGAGTCCTGTGTTTATAAGCACCCGTGAGGATCTAAACAAGCTGCGGCTGTCGCGCTACAAAATGGAGCGTTTCGTTAACTTGCCCATCTTTGAGGCCACTGTTTCGAACTGCTTCGTGCGGATCAGCATTGGGAACAATGGCCAAAAGCCAGTCTATCGGGTGGCTGAAATAGTGGGCGTAGTAGAGACGGGAAAGATCTACAACCTGGGCACCACGCGCACCAATCGGGGGCTGCGCTTAAAGTACGGCAGTCATGAGCGAGTCTTCCGCCTGGAATTTATCTCCAACCAGGAATTCACCGAAAACGAGTTTAACAAGTGGGTCGAGCAGTGCAAGGAATCTCAGGTCCAGATGCCATCCATGGACCTCATCGAGATTAAGCAGAATGACATCAAGAAGGCGCTAAATTACGAGTTCAAGGACGAGGACGTGGACAAGATCGTGGAGGAGAAGAACCGCTTCCGGAACAGGCCCACCAACTATGCCATGAAGAAGACCTGCCTGATGAAGGAGCGCGATGCTGCTATGCTGAGGGGCGACTACGATATTGCCCAGGATCTGGGGCAGCAGATCGACGAGCTGGAGAGCCGGGCCTCCGAGCTGGACAAACGGAGATCGCATACTCTCAACCTAATTTCCTATATCAACGATCGTAACCGCAAGAAGAACGTTCAAGATGCCGAGAAGGCGATTATGGAAGAGGCTCGGGCCAACAAAGGTCTGAAGATCTCCGATCCCTTCACACGCCGCATCACCCAGCCTCGCATGGGTTTCAAGGGCGGCAAAAAGGACGAGGAGGAGATGCTTCAGGCGCCTCTGCCACCTCCGCCACCTGGCAAAAAGAAGACCAACGAAGCGGGACCATCCAATTCAAGCGCCAAGCCCACAGACTCGAAGGATTACAGTCTATACTCACTGCACGACTTTGATATCGATCTAGATGTTCCTCTGCCGGGTATGCTTCAAGTGCTATCCTATTAATTGATTCTCTTTAATATCATCTTTAACCTTTGCAGTTAACAGCACGAATTCCGTACCCAAGCCGGCGAGCAAGCCAGCCGAGACGGTCTCTAAAAGATCCTTGAACTTGGAGGATTACAAAAAGAAGCGCGGCCTCATCTAGAAACTATCATGTATTGACAAAGCCTAACACGTTTTCGTCCTAGTTTAGTGTAGTGCCTAAATGACTACAGCAAACATTTGTTAACGCCTCTGTGACCGACACACTCAACTAGACAAGCAAGACGCAAGACGGGTAGCTTCCCTCGGCCTTAGTTACAGTTTACTATTGTATTTAGAATGACACAGAAAGGTGGGTGGAGCGTATTTGAAATCGGCCGCAGCAGCATGCCCATTTAATATTTCATCGAGGATATTTTCCCCCCAGTTTTGCCTTTCTTCTGTATCGCATTACGATTCAAAATTTAGCGAAAATGTATACCAGAAATGAGGAGGGCCAACGATTACTCGTACAATATGACTGGATTGATAATGCCCTACTGTAAGTAAATTAGGTTCTAGGATGGAATTGTAATTAAAGTGTATACACCATTCAGCCCAGCCCACTCTGATTTCCACAACGATGTTTAATAATTTTATAAACAATATATTATTTATACAAGAATTTTTACTCAGGCAAATGGCAAATTACGATGATTCCAGGGACAAGTATGATTAAAACAGGCTGATTAAATTGGATACGAAGAAGTATAGATTAGATACAGAATGAATATATCCACTGGTTGTATTGTAACCGTTCATTGATGTATTAGCTTTAGGGAGAAAATCATCAATTGTGTAGCAACGGCATACACACTTAATTCTACATACATATATTAAAAATAATTATTATTTATAAATAAAGAACAAACTATTAAATTCAGTTTGTTTGTTGACTTTAATGGATTGCTTTCAATATTTTTTTGGGGACTATCTTAGATGTAATGGGATGTATGTGAAATAAAGGATAAATAACTTAACCCTTATGTCTTTGGCGCCAAACTTAAATTAAAAAGTACACATGTTCGTGGGTCAGGTCCGAGGCTCCGGGTTGGATCTTTTTTAATTGGTTTGCTGACTGTTTGCGCAGCTGGCTGACTCCTTTCATGTTCTCACCAAATTAATTGAATTAATTTGATGAAATTGTCTTTTAATTGAAAACTATCGCATTTCGCGTTGTTTTCGAAAGAATGCCCCCCCTACATATAGAAACATAAAATGGTCAATTTTTCGAGCAATTTATAAAGAGATCTGGCTGGACAACAATGAAAATATATAGGAAGTTAATTTTTGGAGAAAACTTGAATAATGCACTTCCGCTGGAATACTCCAAAAAATTTGATCTGAATTTGTAGTTATTTTTCGGAGGAGAAACTCGGTCCCTTGGACATATTGTTCCCCAAATGGTAAATGCGACTGATCCGATCACAATGATGAATTCGAAGCTGGTGAGATGACTGGCCGGCAGACGGCAGGGTCGGGGACGGCGATCCATTGTGGCACAATGACATTTTATCTCGGAATATGCAACAGCAGCACGTTCTCTGAAGCGGAGAGTGTAATAGATCAGCGGCGGAATCTCGATTCTGAATCCGAAAACTACCGATGCGTGGCCCATGCAAATGTTCTTGCAGTGTGGGTGCATCTCACAGATACATTTACAGCTACAGCTACTCATGGATCCCATAGCCATTGCTTATGTGGAGCGAGGGGTGGGAAGAAAATCCCCTTGGCGGCAACTAATCAACCGGCATGCCATCCACACAAGTGCTGGGCTTCTGTCCATCGTCGGCTTCTTCATCGTCGCCCCCGGCTTGGGCATCTTTCATTGTCTGAGCTTCACAGTATCTGTGTGCGATCCAATCTTTGGGTGAGTGTTGGTGTGGCCTAGGGGACGCTGGCTGGCAGTGGCTTCGGGACCAGCTCAAGCGATCAGTTCAAAGTTGATTTTGTCGCGGACCGGAGCAGACCGTTCTAATTCCGACACGCGACCGTGAATTATAGAATTATCAAATCACGGGCTAATTTAATTTAATATATAAATAATACTCTAAACATATAATAACTAAAATGTTCTTAAAAAAGTGCTCTCTTGTTCTGTGCCTGTGGGTGGGCGTTATCCTTGTCCGGGCCGAACTGGACTTCAACAACGATCTGGCCAATAGGCAAAAGTTCAAGAGCATACCCACTACAGTGAAAACCTATGAGAACGACACTGTCCTGCTGCCCTGCACCTTGAATAGTAAGTCTTTATCTAAGGACCTAGTTTAGGTGCATTTTTAACGATTAGGTTCTCTTGAGGGGCCTTGAAACAGCCACCAGCAGCAATTGGCCATAACAATAAGATTTAATTCGATTGAAGAAATGAGCACACAATGGCACAAATGGAGGTATTATCCGACAATAATAGCGCCCAAGGGAAACCAAGTCCAGAAACGGATTCTATTAATTGAACGCTTAACACACTTAGCAGCCTATTGATGCATATGGTACATACTACTACTACTATACCATACAAGTTCTCTGGGCCCCTCCCCGAAAATCAGTCGTTGACTGCCCATTAAAGGATTATTGACAGTTATTGCAGTTATTGAATCTATAAATAAAAAGGATTAAACAAGTTTTAAGAGATTGAAGTTTAAAATGATTATTAAACAATTATCTTTTAAAATACTCACCGATCATAACGCCAAAGAAATTTTCTTCTTTTCTTAGGGCACTTTTCCCCTGAACGCCATCCACATTATACACCAAGACCACTTCATTGGCTAAAATATATTTATACATAAAATATACATAAACATATTTTATATTACAAACATATATTATTTTTTAAGTCACTCACCTAATAATCGATTGATCCGCTTTGCACTTAACTCAAATGCTTGCAAAAATTTCGTCAGCCAGCAAACACAGCTGCGTTTAAGCGAAGGATTAGCACAAAATAAAACAAGCTGTTCTTTCTGGACAATTGTTTTTGTAAGCAGTGCACCGAAGACGCCTAAACAAACAGCAAACAAAGAGCATACACAAGATTAAAGACAAAACTTCGATTATGCTTATGCACTAATGCGGTAAAATCATATCAATGTATTGGGGTGCCGACCACTGATTTAGTAAGTACCCATGTAGTTATCGACGAGGTAAGCACTTACCCAGGGCTAATCGCTAAATCGAATAGACTAGGTGGTTCGACGTTCGTTTACTATAGGGTCACTTTAGTAAGTACCCATGTAGTGATCGACGAGGTAAGCACTTACCCATGGCCAATCGACACCTCCAGTTCTGCAGGGATACTACTACTACTATACCATACAAGTTCTCTGGGCCCCTCCCCGAAAATCAGTCGTTGACTGCCCATTAAAGGATTATTGACAGTTATTGCAGTTATTGAATCTATAAATAAAAAGGATTAAACAAGTTTTAAGAGATTGAAGTTTATAATGATTATTAAACAATTATCTTTTAAAATACTCACCGATCATAACGCCAAAGAAATTTTCTTCTTTTCTTAGGGCACTTTTCCCCTGAACGCCATCCACATTATACACCAAGACCACTTCATTGGCTAAAATATATTTATACATAAAATATACATAAACATATTTTATATTACAAACATATATTATTTTTTAAGTCACTCACCTAATAATCGATTGATCCGCTTTGCACTTAACTCAAATGCTTGCAAAAATTTCGTCAGCCAGCAAACACAGCTGCGTTTAAGCGAAGGATTAGCACAAAATAAAACAAGCTGTTCTTTCTGGACAATTGTTTTTGTAAGCAGTGCACCGAAGACGCCTAAACAAACAGCAAACAAAGAGCATACACAAGATTAAAGACAAAACTTCGATTATGCTTATGCACTAATGCGGTAAAATCATATCAATGTATTGGGGTGCCGACCACTGATTTAGTAAGTACCCATGTAGTTATCGACGAGGTAAGCACTTACCCAGGGCTAATCGCTAAATCGAATAGACTAGGTGGTTCGACGTTCGTTTACTATAGGGTCACTTTAGTAAGTACCCATGTAGTGATCGACGAGGTAAGCACTTACCCATGGCCAATCGACACCTCCAGTTCTGCAGGGATACTACTACTACTATACCATATAAGTTCTCTGGGCCCCTCCCCGAAAATCAGTCGTTGACTGCCCATTAAAGGATTATTGACAGGGGCAATTAATTTTCAAAGGGGTTAACAAGATTACACAGAAGTTACATCCGAAGCCCACGGGAAATAAATGAATGACTGTCGTTAAGTGACATTCAACCAAATCTTCAAAACAAATACCCACATAAAAGAATTTGTTTCTCAAAATGGGGCCAATAAAATACAACTTGATGAGTTCTGTGTGATTTATTCTCTTTTTTATTCCCAGCACCTTTCCGGTATGTTCGCTGGCACCGGGACGATCCCCCAGTCCCCCTGGTGGATTCCAGACATCCCGATATCCCGAAACCGGATCGCATCATGCTCTGGCCCAATGGAAGTCTACAGGTGTCCAATGTCCAGTCCAGCGACACGGGCGACTACTACTGCGAAATGAACTCGGACTCGGGACATGTGGTCCAACAGCATGCCATTGAGGTTCAACTGGCCCCACAGCTCCTTATCGAGCCCGCTGATTTCACGGAGCAAAGGATCGGGGCCACCTTGGAGGTGGTGTGTGAGGCCCAGGGAGTGCCCCATCCTGTCATCAGCTGGCGTTTGAACGGAAATCCCCTACAAGCCCAGACCAGCACCGGAAACAGACAAAGCCTAGTTCTTGATATAAAGTCCAGGAACCAGGCTGGGCTCATAGAGTGCCTGGCCAGCAATGGAGTGGGCGAGACGGCGGTTGGCAGTGTCTACCTTCATGTGTTGTGTAAGTAATCCAATCCTCCTCAGAATTTTGAAATCATAGGAATAGCCTAATGGCTGACAGCGAGAGCTATATCTTTGCCAATAGTGATCCGATTTCTAAGCGGAATACCTTAAACGATTTGGATCGCTTCTCCATCATTCTACATCAAAATCTAGAGACAATATTTTTTTAAAGATTTTTTATGAAAATTCCTGGGCAGCTCCCTTCAAAATTCGAAAAATGCAAGAGATGGCAGTATGGCTCACAACGAGGGCTATATCTTTGCCAATAGTGATCCGATTCTTGAGCGGAATACTATAAACGATTTTTGGATCGATTCTCCAACATCCTGCATCAAAATCTAGAGACAATATTTTTTTTAGATTTTTTGTCAAATTTCCTGGTGAGCCCCTTCAAAATTTGAAAAATGCAAGAAATGCCAGTATGGCTCACAGCGAGGGCTATATCTTTGCCAATAGTTATCCGATTCTTAAGCGGAATACCTTAAACGATTTGTGGATCGATTCTCCATCATTCTGCATCAAAATCTAGAGACAATATTTTTTTTAGATTTTATTGTCCATTTTCCCCTTTAAAATTTGAAAATTTTTCGTAGAGGCCACTACCGAAAGTCATTTCTTTGCCCAAATTTTTCCGATTCTTCACCCCAATATCATAGAAGATATGTAGACCTAGTATCTGTCAATTTGTTTTGAAATCATTTAATATCGTTGTTTTCATTCACAGTCACACCTGAGGTTAGTGTGTCGCAGGCTGTGGTGTACACCAAACTTGGCGCTCGTGCCCACCTGGAGTGTCTTGTGGAGGCAGCCCCCACAGCCACCGTGAAGTGGTTCCATCACGGGTTGCCGGTGGCATTGGGAGCCCACTCCAGCAGTCACGAATCGGAGGTTCAGGCGAATCGCTCTCTGGATCACTACGTGAATGCAGTCCGTCACCTGTTGGTGGTGAAGAGCGTGCGGAATGCGGACATGGGTCAGTACGAGTGCCGAGCCAGTAACCAAATTGGCTCGAAGAGCGGCAGTGTCGAACTGACTGGTCGCCCGATGCCCTGCGTGTTCAAAATCAATCCCGGAACCCAGAGCTCTACGTCCCACGGGCTGGTGTGGCAAACGGAGAGCCTGCTGCCCATTATGGAGTTCAAGCTGAAGTTCCGGCAGATTCCCTCAAACAATGCCACTCGGTCCCTGCGAACCAACTGGACAGAGCTGACGATACCGGCTCAGGCCACCAATGGTAAGGTTTAAGGCTTGATTGTCTGTATAAGAAATTATATATTTTTTTCTAATCGACAGGACTCATCTACATCACCACTTATACGCTACATGGCCTGCACCCTGCCAGTCTTTACGAGGTGTCGGTCTTGGCCAGAAACAGCTTTGGCTGGAGTGATAATAGCAAGATAGTACGCTTCGCAACGGGTGGTGAAGGTAAGATGGCCAATGATATACTAACGATCCCCAAACTATACATAATTTATACCCCAGTGGAACTGCCCAATTACTCAACGGAATCGGAGCTACAAGAAGACTTTGGTGATGAAGACTTCCACAATGAAATCACCCAAAGATCAGAGGTTTTGTCAGCCAGCATGATGTACAACTCGGGTTCGATATGTGGGCACGATATCAGTTTATTAATTTATTCCCTATGTCTAATAAAATTATTTATAGTCTTGAGTTAGGTTTATCTATAAAAAATATACAAATTTTGTACTGAACACGAGTTACACACTAAACCAAATAAAAACACCTTTTCATATAAATTCTGACTAAAAGATGGCTTAGGTCACAAGTGATTCACATTTTAGAAAAGGTCTGTTGATTCAGAAGGAAGCAGATAAGATTCATTGACGCTAAGCAACATTATAATACTTTATCTGTGAGTAAGAAAAGATTAATTTAAATTCATAGGTGGTTTTCCCCAAAAAAATGGTAATTCAGGAGAAATTCATTAAAAATTAAGTAACAAAGTACCTATTCTACGAAACAAAATCAAATATTGAATCAGATGTTACACGTAGCAGTCACACTGCGTATGAGTGATATTTCAGAGGTTTAAACTTTAAAGTAATACGTGATTCAGGCCTAAACGAATATGCCTTTTAAAATTTCTAAAAGGGTACATCCTCGGTATAGGGCTTCCTCTTTGGACCAACAACAACAACAAATGGCACTGACATTGCGGGCAGCTAACGCATCTTTTTGGCCGCAAGCCCCGCTCCCTCCTGACCAAGTACCATCACTCTATCGGCCCCAACTCTGAAAGGCTCTCGCGGAAGGGAACGAAACGAGAATGCGTGCAGGCTTTTTACCTTGCCGCCCCAAGCAGTAAGAGAAGCACTTGGAAAAATACTCCAAAAATATATACATATACTATGAAGAACTTTTATATTAAAATTAAAATCTAGAAACAAAAAACCCTCTTAGAAGTAATAAAAAAAAATGTTTATAAGTAGGGTCATTGAATTTTTTTCAGCGTATGGAGAGCCCTGAGAGAGAGAGAGTTGCGGCTCGTTGGGGCCATCGCGTTGGGGCCGTTCCATTTACCATTTCGTTTCGTTCGCGGCGCTTTCGGGCATCCCAGCCCGCGAACCGAAAGTGATTTCAGTTCTCAATTGAACAGCTTCGCGTACGGTTTCGAGGAATTCCAAAGCGCCAAAACAAAAAGGTCTCCATACATGTCCATAACTTCAGCCCACTACCCCGGAACGACCTTAGATTTAAGGCACTTAAAGACAGCTGTAAACGTTTTCAATCGGCCTGGCTAAAACGTGTAAAAATCACTTAGGACAGGGCTTAAACGCTTTCGGAAAGCGTTACCAGTGCAAGTGTTAAATGTTACTTGAAATACGAAAATCTTTACACAAATCGGGAAAAACAAAAGACGTAAAAAAAAAACGTTTTTTTTTTAACGCTTTTTAACCGAATTTTTGTTGTTGTGGTTGGCGGCGGCAGCGGCTTTCGTCGGTCGCGTCGGTATCTGGGGAGCAGCTAAAAAACCAGTTTTCCTCCTCTAGGCTCTCGGGCAAAATAAATACGAAACTAAATAACAATCTTGAACGCATCGCATCCATTCTGTAACTGGCCCTGAAAGATTCGAAACTCAAGGAGCCATTTCGGTCGATGGTCTTTGGCCAGCAGAGTCACAGTCTAGCGATGATTTATAATAATGGCCCAGAGAAGTACTATATTTGTGTGGCAGATGCTGCTGATGCTGTTCCACATCTTCACTTTTACTCCCTTATGCCAAATTCGTTTTGGCCAGAAACAAGCAGTTGCAGTTGCAGTTGCAGCAGTGGCAGTCTCTTTCACCTTCACTCTCCTTTGGCAATATCTTGGCTGCAAATTCTATAAATATGTGCAAATATGTAAAACAGTTGTCGTTGTGCCGGCAACAAAAATACACCCAAAACCAAAGAGGAGAAACCGTAAAGGACAGGAGAAAAAATAAAGGTGGCCAAATGAAAGCGAAAATGCAAATGAGGGCTATCGAAGATGGGGCTACTGGCTGGGGGGCTAGCGGAAGAATCTCTAGAAGATGGAAGATGGTAGCAACTGGGGGCCAGCTGCTCCTCGTGGAGAGGGAAGTGCAAACAAATGCTGAATGAAAAACACAATTTTTTCTATACAATCGTGTTTTTATTTACACTATTCTACGCTATATAGGAAACTCAAAAAAAAAAAGCGAAAAACAAAACAGAAAAGTTTTCAATTCGATTTGTGGCAGCAAAGTGCAAGCATTGATCCCCAAAAGCCAGCTGCAGCTGCTCCCTCTCAATAGGTATACCCCCTACTCCAAAACTCGCACACACAAGTGCACCCCGATAGTATCTGTGTGTGTAAACTTGGAGCGCAATGTAAATAAACAAAGCGCCAAAGACACAAAAAACAACAACAATCAAGGCACTGATTTAAAAAGAACCAACAAGAAAAAGAAGAACCAAGTTTGCACCTTTCCCTCCTCCGGGGCGTCCCTCCGATTGTATAATTGATAAACAGGCCGGGTCGGTAAATTCTGTTTTAGTGATAGTTATAGGGGGGCTTTTGTAGCCTCTCTGCTAGAGGAAGGTGTCAACTCTCGGGGCCTAACACACACCTATTGTCGTACTTGCCGGCCATACATATATCTGAGGTGTCGTTTATTCAGATGACAGTCATAATATATAGTAGTAGTGCTGGGAAAACTCTGTTGCACAAGCGAGTGAGAAAATTTCCGCTCATTAGATGGCTTTTGTTCAGGGATGTTAGTTCTATATGATCTCTATTCATAGAGAAAGAGTAAATATCCTGACCAACAAAGCAATTACTATTCCCATAGCTTATATAAGAGCATCACTTCGTCGCCTATTTCCTACCAGCTTACGAAATTTTTGAAAAACATTTTTTTGCGAATGCATCAGCTATGGATTATGATCATCAGACATTGCAAAATTGTTTGTTTTATGAGTCGAGCATACAAACAAATTATACCAGTACGCATATATTGATATACAGATGCAGATCGCTATTTGTTTGTGTGTGTGTGTGTTTGAGTTATGCCCGCCATTTTGCAAACAACAATTTTTGTTTTTTTGGTCGAATTTTGGTCGGTCGCTGTGCAGTTGTAAACGTTGTTTTTTTTCATTCGGGCTGTACAATTTTTTCGCATTTGCACATTAATTTATTTATATGCATAAACATTTGCATGCTATTCGACTTGGCACACCCTGACCCAACACCAAACCCCCCCCAGAGCCCCCACTTCGACCCACTTTACTGGCCGGCTGGCATTGAGTCAGCCCCGAAGAGCAAAAAATACAGTCAGATCTATCATTCAATAGCCATGTGGCATGTAATAACTTTAAAGCTTGAAAACTATTTTAAAAATAACTCTTAAAAAAACACATGTTATTTATTATATACCTTTTGATTAGATATTAGTATTATAGTATTTTCTATTGAAGTAGTACTGTCCAAAGAGAGAGCGGTACTCGGTGTGAGCTGCAAATTAGCCAGCATCTGTGGCAGCAGTGGCAGTAGCTAGCAAATGGCGATTTTTCGCATAGAGATCATAATATCTTCAAGATACAACTTATCGGCGGAGAGCAAATTACGACAAGATACACGGCTCATACGGGGCCCATACAGCTTGCATAACGCGGCCAGGCGAATGGGCAATGTTTACCCACCGATCGGTCGAATATTTTAACCCCCCCTCGGTAATGGCTGCAAAAAAAATTCGTTTGTAGTTCGCGCTTTTCTTTGCATTTTGCCACAAGTCAATTAGAAGTTTCCGGCCAACGACGCGGCTGGCATACAAAATATACAAAATAAACGATAATCGAAATTAAGAAATCCCACAACTAAATAATTGTAATTGTTTCTTTTGTCGGCCTTTGCGGCTCCCGATCGGGAATAGCGAATTAATCAAGTACCAACCAAACATATTAATTGCAGTTAACAACCTACCTCCGATAGCTCCGAACCAAAATCAAAAAACAAATCGAAAAAACGATCATCAGAGGCAATCAACATGATCAGGGCGAAAGACACAACATGGCTGCTACTCATTTGTCTATTAATTGGACAATTCTACGGTAAGTCAAGGACTCCAGTTAATGAACTATAAAATCAAAGAGCTAATTCGTTTTGATTCGAATTAATTACCACCAAATTGCCTTTTATCGAGAGCTCCATAAGAGGCAGTTCCCAGAATTCCCCAGTTAATAGAAGTCAAGAGTGGTGGCGTATACGTAATATTTAGTCTTCTCTTTTATGGCTGCTCTTAAAGATAAGAAAGTGCAGCAAGAGTACAAGAAATTGTCTTTAAAATAATAAAATTCTATTTTAAAATTATTATAGGTATTTGGGAGACATTTTATTCATTTATGTTGTTTCCACGTTTCATAAATTTCAGCATACATATTTTGAAATATTTTTTTTGGAAATTATAATCTTGGGTTGGGTTATTAATTGATACCATAAGACCATAACGCTTTTGAAATTTTAATTTGTTTTGAAAAGGTTGAGTTCTTTAATGACTCTGCTGCGGTTCAATGGGTTTACGTAAGTTTCCAGAAATTATGAATTACTGAATGTCGGACGAAAATAAGTATGAGCCAAGTTAGCCTACATTTCGACCCGCTCACACTCACACATCTGCACAGAAAAGCTCCAGATATGGAAAGGTGTGTGGTCTAGAACCACGTGCGTATTGCTTATCTTTTGCGTAAAATGAACTCACAGATACACACACGCACACACTCGCAGATAGTCTCACGTAGACTCAGATGTAGGTGCCAGTTGAAAAAACAACAAGCATATCTTATCACCCACAGAGAGGGAGAGAGCGCCCACTTATCTCCACACACTTGGAAAGTTAAATTTCATTCGCTTAGGAATTATGGCGCAAATTGCTGATAACGGTTAACATTCCATTTCACGTACCTCGGAGCGTCTGCACATGGAACGTTGGCTTGGAAACTTTCCCCCAACTCCACTCCCAACCATTCCCCAAAGAACCCATCATTTCCCCCTAGACCTCAGAGCCTAGACTCTATCCGGGTGCCATGTGTTTCGATATACACATATGCATGTGTGGATAAAAAATAAAGGGAATAGGCCCCAACGAGTAGAATAAATATTTGCTATGCACGAACTGTTCTGCAAAGAATGGCATTTTGATGTCGAATATTTGCTCGTAAACCTCCGACTTTGTTCTTCTTGTTTTTTTTGTATTCCTCTATCTGTACGTGAAACGCCCCCGGTGTTTTAAATTATCACATGTCCCAGGGCATAGGCCATGATGTTTTGTTTTTTCCACCGACATTAAGGAATATTCCAATATTTACAGATACTATGGTGGTCTTTTAATTAAAACTGAATTCGATCCAATTTTAGCCATAAGATAAGGCTGCGGATAACCCGGAATGAACCAGCACATATGCCAAAAATAAGCCTGAACTTTGTATTCTCCAATATCACATATCTCCCTATATACTGAATGTAGCTTCTGGCCTGTTGTAAATATCCAAGAATGTTTGGCCTACAAACAAGCCGAACAATACAATATTTCATAATGCTCCTCCTGGCAGCCAAACAAAAATATTTGTTTTCATGTCTATTTCACTCTTCACTTGCAGAAGTGGAGTAGATAATGACTTGGCCCTAATGGAAATTTGGTTTATTTACATCGAAAACATGCCTCTTCAAGGTTAACAAGACCCGAGGGATCTAATAAAATAATTTTCTCAGAATTCAGCGATAAAGTGATTACTCCAGAATGCATATATGCTTTGCTGACTAGTGTTGTGCTTTTCGAAAACAGCCGAAATACTCAAATTACTCATTCGTTCGCCTTTTTCCAAAAATAAAGATCGCATAATAAATCAGTGATTGGATCAATCAAAGTTCTCCAGAGGGTGCGGAGCGACTGCGTGGCCCCACCCAGGGAAGGGTAGACGTTGAATCGATTTGCCGATTCAATTGATTTCAATTTAATTTCCCATTTTTTATGTGCCTGTATTTTGGCGGGTGTTTGTTTCATTTTATTATGTGTCTCTATGCAAATTCATGGAATTGAATTATGTACAAAGACAGTGGAAATTGTACATGGAAACTGCTCAAGGAAATTTGATTAAAAGGAACCTTAACCCTAATAACCCTAACATACCAAACAACCAATGATTAAGACATAAGCTTATCGAATTATAAAGAAAAGGGTTTTACAAAAATTGAAGTTCCTGATATAACTGAAGAGCTTCAAGACAAACGAACAGGATCATCATCTAGTATCAATTACAAAAAAATCACGTTATTGTTTATTTTAAAATTAAATCTAAATTTAAATAGCTTCTTCCACTGTACATATATTTCCATTCTCCCTTGCAAATCTAACCATAGTTCTGACATCTGAAACTCGCACAATTCTAAGCACTTTTACGACCCCACATCACAATCTGACTTGCTCCATCGGGCCTTAGACATGACATGTCGATTAAAGAATTTTTTTGCCTCCCCCCCAGTTGGCTTCTGCTGACTTGACCGAATTGGGATGATGCTACGTTTCCTTTCCCAGATTTTGAAAATCTTGTGCATTTAGGATTGGCAAACCGGCGGCAACTAGATGCCATCATTTATTTATACACATTTCATTGACTCAGCAGACTTGGGCGAGGATGTGTCGATGTGGGCCAGCCATTCTACTAGATTTGTTTACTTATTGACCCCATAACTCATCCATAGCCACATATATCAGATCCACCGTACATACAGTCTTATAGTGAGTCAGAAATTAATGAAAGCAAAGACGATCATGAATGCGATCGAAAATCTTGAACTGAATCTTCAATGGGAGTTATCAACGAGGTGCGGTCGCGACTACACCCGACCTTGCTGATACGATGGAGTATATTTAATATTGGCGCCTAGTACAAGGAATTCTCATAAACGAGGTTCCGTACTTGCACTGCACTTTTATTTGAAATGTGGGACAGAGTAATAAAAATTAAATTGCATTCTGAAGTAGAAGAAATTTCCTCACGAGCTGTCAACAGTTAAAATGCAGTCATTAAAATATGCACTTCATGCTTAAAAAGCAAATTAAAAATGTAATTAAGGAACTAAATAAAAAAGGGGATATCAAATAGCAAGAGTTGTCAAAAAACCCCAAACCTAACAACTATGCAAAGTATTCCAAACAATCCCACGCCAAGGGGCTATTGCATTCGAACATGCCTTCATCTGGCCAGGAATGCAAAGCCATCAAAGCTGGCCGAAAGGAAACTGAACGGAATGCGACAAATTCCTGGCGGCGACGCCCCAATGCCAATGCAGGCCACAAATGGCCATTCTGTATAACATTGAACTCGAGTTTAAAGGGGAAAAGGAGTGCCAAGATGGGGATGGTAGCGGAAATGGAAATGGAGAGGGGCGGGAGTCTGGACGGGGTCCTGGCGCCGCGACATCCTGACGCCATTGTTCCACTCAGAACGATTGCACAAGGGAGAGACAGTGGGACAAGGCACTGGGAGAATAGCTCATCCATCCATATGGATGAACTTAAGCTAAGTGGACGTTGTTGTTTCAGTTGTTATTTTTATTGTTGTTGTTGTTGTGTTGCCGTTTTTTATTTGCAACCCCCGACATCGATCCAAGGACAACGGATGACGCATGTGAGAGCCGTCCCAGCCCCCAGTCTCCACCCAGTCTGACCTACTTGCAGACAACAATTGCGTGAAGCTAGGAGAAGCCTGCTGCAATCCCTGGATGCTGCTTCTCCGAATAAGACTCTGGCCCTGGACCATAACCTTGACACAAGCCCAGACTGCAGTTTTAAGCCAGTTATGGCTCAGATCTCAATCCCCCCTGCTGCTTTTGGCCAACTAGAGTCATTTTCTTTACAATTTATTTGGTTTTGTTTTTTGTGGAGTGGCCCAAACCATAAACGGAGCGTCGGTCTGCGGATATAAGGAGAGGTCGTTGGATAAGATAGCTGGCTCCGAGACGCAAGTGGTTACCTTAAAGAGCTTTTATCGACCATTGATAACGAGTTTAAGCGACTTGCGTAATCCCGACAATATCCATCATAGCCGTATAGGAATGATGGCAGTGAGTCACCTAGTCTCGTAGCCGTTAGAAACCGCATATGGCATGTAAATGATTATTGGCTAATACATAAAAGATCACGGCCGGAAAGAATTACTCATACAATTAGCATATTCTGTTACGGGGTGCAGCCAGGAGTCATCATTCAAATGGGAAATGGAAATGAACATTCCAAAATCAGAAACCCTCCTCGAGGTCTGCGACTCTTCTGGGTATTGCGCTAATTTACCCAAGGCTTAGAGTGTTTTTTTTATCTGCCATGCATATCTCCTCTCATATCTCGTTTTTTATCTCAAAGATTAGTTCTAGAGCTGAAGGAAGTATTTTATGGGGGATGAACCGTAGATTTTATGCTGCATACTTTTAGGGAAATATTCTAGAACCTGCTGGGTTTCCATAAAAATTGTGACTAAACGCAAATATTGAGAGTAATGTATTTGCAAATATTGAGCCGGTTATCTCCCCTAGTTCCTGTTGGAACTCATTTCCGTTTCAGAGCCATATAGTCGAGTTCTTTGTGGCAAAGACCCCTCATGATTGGAAGCAGAAGTTACAGTGGATGTTGTGTGATTTTTATCAGTTCCAATTAAGTCTGGAACCACTCAGAGGCCTGTCTGGCTGACTCACTGCTGCACCTTCTCTTGGGCCATTATTTCAACTCTACTTTGAATTTAAACACGATTCTTTTTCGATTTTTTTAGTACGCACCCATGCAACGCCGATAGATGACTCTAAAGTTGAATACCAGGATGATGACTACGCTTACAGTGATATTGATGAGGATCCCATAGAGGACGAAACTCCTCCAGTTGTGGACTCGCCAGCAGCACTTCCTTATTTCGAGGAAAACGACCTTCGGGTGGAAGCCAAGCCGGGCGATGATGTGGTGCTGAATTGTGATGCCCGCAACTTTATGCGTAAGTTGAACTAATCAATCTACTAATTAAAACATCTTAATTAACAAAACTTAATATTTTCCCTTAGTTAACAATGCTATCATGTGGTACAAGAACACCACAATGATTGTCAATGGTAATACTGCGGTGGTGCCTCGCTTCGAGGCCATGAAAAACAATTCTATATTCCTGCAAAACGTAACTCCGGCGGACTCGGATAACTATTACTGCGTTATCCTGCCGCAGAACGTTCGACAGCACACAACTCTGAGGGTGGGCGCCCGGCTGTCGATCCTCTGCGACGACCGTGACATCACGGATCGATCGCAGACGTTCAGGCAGGGCGACCACCACAAGCTCGAGTGTCGAACCTATCTGCCCGGCGAGCCCACAATCAAATGGTCCTTTAATGTATGTATGAAATGCTTTAATCCTACTCATCCTAGTCACATTCAAGATATATTTGATAGTTTTTCAAGATCAACTTCGTTATCGCACTGATATACTCGGAGTAGACTTGAAAAAATAGCAAATGTTTCCGCATATTTTTGTTATCATTGTATCTTTTAAAGATTGGATCTATCTGACAGCTATCTCTATCAAAAAATGAATCATATTCTTAATCTTATTATTTCAGGGTCTTCGCATGGAGTCTTCCCCCAGTGATGAAGAGAAAGGAGTCATTGTCCTAGACAACATCGACGATGTTAATGCCGGCGTATATCAGTGCCTGGCCGACGATGGCAGCCACGATCCCCCACATGGCATGGTTACCATCGATGTCCAGTACAGCCCCAAGGTGTCCACCCACCGGCATCATGTCAACACCGAGGAAGGCGGCACTGCGGAGGTGTACTGCAACTATCGCGCCAATCCAATTGCCAGGAGCTTCTTTGTCAAGGATGGCACAACCATTCAGTTGTCCGAGAAATACTCTCTATGGGACTCTGTGCACAATGGACACAATCGCACAACGCTGGTGGTCCGGAATGTGGAGGGCACCGATCTGGGCGAGTATCTGTGCCACGTGGAGAACGCCATCGGCTTCAACGAAGTGAAGGTGCACGTCAGCTACAAACCGGAGACGCCCCAGTTTGAGGACATGAAACTGGAGGGCACCAAGGTGACAATGCACTGGCTGGTCAGGAGTCTGCAGCCATTGTCTGAGGCCATGCTGGACTACAAGCTATCAGGGGTAAGCTGGGGGATTCCATGACCTTTCATGTAGACGGATTTTGCAATCTCGATCTCCATTTCAGTCCTACACTTGGAGCACAGTCTCGGTGCTGGAAACGCATCGTCATAATCAGACTGGTGGCATCTGGAAGATCACGCACCAGCTGGACTTGCCACGACGTGGCCTGTGGCATGCCCGTGTCAAGACGAGGAACCCCTATGGCTGGTCTAACTTTTCGCCGGATCACGATTTCACGATCCAGGCCGATGGCGAGGGTGAGTCAACATAAAATTAAGTTCCCCAACGAAATCGCATATAACTTGATGTTTTCCGTCAGATTCTTATGAGCCCAGCGATGCGGATCTGCCACCGGATCAGATAGTCCAGGCCGGCATCGGTCTGGGCGGTCGAGGAACCGCGTCAGCCCTCGCCCAAGCGCCCGTGGGTGGCGTTATCCTAGCGGCGCTCCTGCTGCGCCAGATCCGCCAGCTCTAAGGCCGCCTTAGCGAGGACATGGAGGAGTGTACATATGTATTTCCGGATTACTCAGCTATCGATGGCATCGGAGCGATAGCGAATAGCGACAGCCAACGCAAATAGGAAACAGAAACAAAAGTATTCTAATTATACAAACAAAATGCTAATGCGCGCCTGCTAGCCTGGGTCAATGCTACCCATATATAATGTTAATGCTATATCGTACACGCTGGAGCGATCGCCACTAAAACATTTGTGCCAAGCAAGGAGAAACTGATACAGAAACAGAATTAAATTTAATTTAGTTTAGCTAAAGTTAATGTTAAAACGAATCGACATTGGGCCGTGGATGTGAAATTGTTGGATTAGGACACAAAAACTGCGAAGATCGGTTGAAAACCGAAGAAAAAAAAAACAAAAACAAACCTTTTGATTAACCTTAGATGTAATATTTATTTGTTTTCGTATGTATGCATGTAAAAGTTGGCACCTTTTGAGGACGAGAGAGAGGAGTGTAGAAGCATCCTTGTTACCTGAAGAACCCGAACCGAAAACGAATACAGTGGCGAGCAAAATTGAGTGTATGTTCACGACTCAGACTTTCGTCACCCATAAATTCATATTCACACAACCAAATCCAAAAATTTTTTTTGTTTTCTATTAATTATTTAATTCTTAATAAATTCTGAGCAAAAACAATGATGATAAAGATGAATTCGAGGAGAGATAAATTAAAAACGAAAAAAACCCACATAAACTCAATTTTGCACGTTTCAAAGAGTTTTAATTTCCAAAATAATATTAATATTTTGTCCAAAGAAATTTATTTGATATGACTTCCTGCACGCGGCCAGGCATGTTATCTACCAAAATTTCTCTTACATCTTTAGGAAAGCGTATCCATTCAGCTACAACACGCTCCCAACGGTTGCCCCTGTTTGATGCACCTGTTTCGTACTGCCTGAGCCGTCTTTTCATGATTGACCAAAGATTTTCAATCGGATTGAGGTCGGGACTTTGTTCCGGGGTTTCATTTAATTTCTAAGGTTCCCTTCCAAACCATTCCTTAACAATTTTCGAAGTGTACTTCGGATCCCCATCTTGTTGAAAAACCATTTCTTTTCACAATAAGCACATTTTTCAATAAAAAATGTCCGAAATGAGAAGGAACAAGCTCCTAAAGGAACACTAAAGGATGCTTCTTTGGCTATCATCAAGAATGTTAGCGAATGGACTGCTAGAAAAACACTGCGACACATCGGATATATTGCAAGTGTGAAACACAAACAAACCTGCATTATCCGATAAAAATATTACAGCGCGATTGAAATTTGCAAGGGCACACAAAAATTGGACCGTTGACGATTCAACGTGTTATCTGGTCTGACGAGTCTAAATTTTACCCTTTTCAGTCTGACAGAAAGCAATATTGCTGGCGTAGACCCGGAGATCGAATCCAAAGACACCATGTAAAAGAAACTGTAAGACATGGGGGTGGTGGTATTATGGTTTGGGGATGCTTCACATGGTGGCATTTTGGCCCTCTACAATTAATAGAAGGTGTTAGAAAGAGGACTACCTAAAAAACTTGCAGACCAATCTTCCCAATTTTATTGAAAAATGTGCTTATTCCGAAAAGAAATGGTTTTTCAACAAGATGGGGATCCAAAGTACACTTCGAAAATTGTTAAGGAATGGTTTGGAAGGGAACCTTAGAAATTAAATGAAACCCCGGAACAAAGTCCCGACCTCAATCCGATTGAAAATCTTTGGTCAATCATGAAAAGACGGCTCAGGCAGTACGAAACAGGTGCATCAAACAGGGGCAACCGTTGGGAGCGTGTTGTAGCTGAATGGATACGCTTTCCTAAAGATGTAAGAGAAATTTTGGTAGATAACATGCCTGGCCGCGTGCAGGAAGTCATATCAAATAAATTTCTTTGGACAAAATATTAATATTATTTTGGAAATTAAAACTCTTTGAAACGTGCAAAATTGAGTTTATGTGGGTTTTTTTCGTTTTTAATTTATCTCTCCTCGAATTCATCTTTATCATCATTGTTTTTGCTCAGAATTTATTAAGAATTAAATAATTAATAGAAAACAAAAAAAATTTTTGGATTTGGTTGTGTGAATATGAATTTATGGGTGACGAAAGTCTGAGTCTTGAACATACACTCAATTTTGCTCGCCACTGTACATTTCTAAGGTGACAAGATCTAATCTATTAGGACTCACACCCCAGAGAATAGAAATTAGAAAGAACAGATTAAGATCTAGGGATCTTTTTAGGATTTGTACTTAGAAACTGAATCGTATTTGTAACTGAAGGGGCTTAGGGAGGGAATCAATCGAATGGCAACCGAATTATTTTATAAACTAGACCAAAGCTTAGACATACATGTATAGTATGTGTACTATAACCTACCACACCCACATGCATATGAACCACATCAACTCAACGAAACGATCCAGAATACATACATATACAAATCAAACGAAAGGATTATGCTTAAGAAGACCTCGGGCTTGGCTTTACATTTTCGTCCTTTTGATTCTGCTACAATACCTGAATGAAATGAAAGAAATATCGCCATAACATGCTGACCATATACACTATACGTATGAGTAATCAATTGTGAATGTAGAAATATATATTTTATATATATTTTATTTAAGAATCATAGCCTAACATTAGAGCTGATCAATAAGCGTGCCAATTGAAGCAATCAAGCGGATATGATTGCTCCACAAAATAAATCAAAAAATCAAAAACAACACAAACGGAAGTTCCATAATCAATGTTTCGACGAGGACCTGATTTCAAATGCCGACCTTAAAGCATACACATAAATATAATATACACGTATATACCAAGAGAATCATATATATATACTATAATGATATATTATTAAAGCCAGTGTCTTACATAAATATTGTAATTTTCGTTGAGTCCATGTTAAGTAAAATTTAATAATGAAGTCCAAATGGATTTGGCCATGATTTTTTTAGCTGGAAATATTAAACAAATTTTACAATTCTGTATACTTTGGTTCCTTTTTTTATTTAATAAATAAAGTTGATTTTGTGTCTTTAAAAATACAAAAATTTACAATCAACAAAATGCTCATTTTCCTGTGAGAATAGAAGAGTGGAGAGTGTTTTGAAGAGGGCACAGATCTCTGCCAGCGTAATACTAATCCTGAGCTTAAGCTAATGACGACCGGCTCCCAACAGTACCATGACAGATCCGAGCAGCGTCCAGCCCATCAGACTGCAGGCCATCGCGCTCGACGCCGAAGTTGAGCTCTCCGGTACAATGGCATCCAGGGAATGTTCGGCGATGACCACCTTTGTTATGACCTCGGACCTGGAGGGTACGACCTCGCAGCGATAGGAGCCGGCATCCTGGGCGCTGGCCTTCAGGATGGTCAAATCAAAGTTGGGATCCAGTTCAAAGTTCGGCTGCACCACATTCTTGCCATTGGCAATCAAAGTGTTGCCGAAGTACCAAAGAACAACCACATTTTCTGCACTTAGCACTGAAATACAATTAATTTATGTTAGTTTTTTATATATATTTTTTTTTTGATTTTATGGCTATACTTACTTTCAGTTCCCACATCGCACTTGAGTTTCAAATCCTTGCCGAGAATTCCAGTCACAGATGCCGTCTTGCTGACCCTCTGCAGGGAAGTGGGGGTCGAGTCCTTGGTCTGGGGGCTGGGGGCACTTTGGTCGTCACTCGAATAATCAAAGTCATCGTCATTTTGCATGGGCTCATCATCAAGGTTGGATTGTGGATAGGAGAGTACTGTAATATATTTATAAATAGTTAGTATTTTTATATCATGAAGACCTTAGGATCTAGCTTAAAAGTATGCAACGAATCTGTCTGAATTCTAGTCTTTTATTTTATATTTTTTTGTAGTTTCTAATAGAATAACTATTTCTTTAGAACAATTATCACGCTAAGAAATGGGAAATCTTTAAAAAACGAATCCATTTAATGGATAATAGCTGAAGATCTTCTGTAATTATAGATTGTTTATCCCTTGGGGGCTAGCCCATGGGGGGGTCAGAGCAGTCATCGCATTTAGTCGGTGGGTTAATTAAGAGAAATTAAATGGAAATCGAAACCAGCACGGCCCAGAGTGCATTAGGCCATCATAATACAGTTATATTTGTTTGTGTTTGTATTTGTATTTGTGCTTATCATTTTCGCAGCTCAAATTCATCAGAAAAAAGGGAGGGCTGAGAGGGCTGACATGGCGGAGAGGTGGTGGCATTAAAAGACAGCTGCACCGATGATGGGTTAAATTAAAAGCCAGACAATTCGCATTCACGTTCACTGTTTTTCCACCAATTCTTCAGTCTTCATTCTTCCCCCACCATGCCACACACACGTACATACATACGTAGACACTCGCATGTGTACAAACACACATATTTTGTCGAAAACATTTTCGGTGAAATGGGGTCACATGAAAAACGAAAATTAAAATGAGCGAATGGAAAGAGAAAACAACAGCGCCTAACCTAACACTCCCCCTCGATTTGTCCACGTCTCTGCCTCTTTTATGCAGTCGCCCCCCCTCTCACTCGATGTATGCCGCTTGGTCGATCGCCGCACCCACATGTGACGTGCTGACGGCAACAATCCACAGCAACAACAACCATTAGAAATTATAAAATTTTTAAGTTAAAGGAAAAATAAATTTCGTAAATATTATTTTAGTTTAAATTTTAATCTTAAGGTTTATTAACAAATGATTTAAAATATTTTCTCAGTGTACCAAAAAACACAAACAATCATAAGAACGGCAGCATATTGGGCCACTTTTTGTTATTTTTTTTTTTTGTTTGGTGGTGTCACCGTTGGACACACAGAACTGAAAAGCATTTCACAACAATGTCCATTTTCATAGTGCCAACTGCAACACACACCCTCCCTCAACACACACCAGAAAAGGGACAGTTTGGTTCGGTGATTGTGAAAAGTTTAAATATACATTCTGGTACATTTATTTTGGCCGCTTTGGTCGCTCTGTGTTATGGCCACTTCTTCATGCGGAAACAGGAAAAATGAAAATTTTTACAAGCTCCAAGTACAAACAAAATTCGAATAGAGCTTCGAATTTCCACTCCAGAAATGCAATCCCTGGCGATCGCTGGAGTTCCTTTTCTTGTACTCCTCCTAACCGAAACCTCCAACTCCTCGAATGGCCACCTCCACCTCCTGAAGAGAATTCCCGAAAAAAAATGCACATTCACTCACGCATTGGCTCTTTGTCGTAAACTTGAGCCATAAAAGAAATTTATTCTTGTATTTACATTGAAGCAGGAGACACCCAGAACCCCACCGAAGCCAACTGAATTTATGTTGGACGGACGCCTTCCGCCCCGAATAAAAAAACCAACCAACAGCCATTGAACCGGGAAGATAAGGCCCGAAATGAACAACAATCGCAATGAAAGTTTATTTGCAGATTTTTTTTCGAAAGGCGTGATGGTCTGGATCGATGGTCTGGATTTTTGACTTCCGATAAGCATAAGCCATAAAGAAACAACTCGAAAAAGGAAAACAAATACATTGTATTTCAGGAATAAACATTTTTTCAATGTATTCTCAGTCTTGATAGCGGATATTTTGAGGATTTTGTTAAAAAGAAAAGGTTATAACAAGTAAAACTTAAATTTAAAACATCCTCTGCATTTATAATTCCATTAATTTTAATCTCCCGTCCCTTTTAACCTTTAATTTTGGGTTTACATCCTCCCGAAATGATCTTTACCCGGGATTATGTTTGCCTTCATGTTTTTCTATCTCCAAGAGATAACTTGGCCAACTCCATTTTAATTACTACTCAGAATTAGACCAACAACAATTTATCATAACCATGATTCCGAAAATAAAAGATAGTAGGGAGTAGGGAAAAATGCATTTCAGCTAATAACCCCAAGCCACAAGCCACCAGCCACAACCCAAAAGCCAAGCTTGGCTTTAGTGCCCAGTCACTGCCCCCACTCCCGGGACCGAGCCATTTCTCCACCCCGGGAATGTTGGGAATCATTCAAGTGCAGCACTTTTGTTGCCGGGTTTACTACCTGTGATAAGGCCCGGAGGAAATTAAGAGCCAGTCCCGGAGGGAGCGAGCTCTCTGATCTTTGATCTCCTTTCCGAATGTTTTCAGGTTTGTCCAACCACCACTCTCTCTAGCATACACTTGGAGAAATCAACCGAAAATATAGTAATTATTTTAGTTTAAAGTTTTCAATGTCAATACCATTTTTTGAAATTAAATTCAATTGAAAATTAAGCCAATTATCTGGACTGTTCGGGGGAAAACGTTGTGGCCTAATGAAGTTACAGCAATTTTTTTTAAGTGCCCTACGTGACTGACCAGTGCCAGTTCCCGACCCGGCCCAAAAGGGACGCAGGGGCTGCGTTATATGAGCCGAAAATTGTTTGTGTGGCAGGAAGGAGATGGAGGAGATCGCTTCACTTCAGTGTTAGTGAGTGTATCTGTGTGGCAGAGTGTGTGGCAGATAGAGACATGAGGCGAAGCGGATAATGATAATGGCATTCGGGTTCTGTGAAAGCGATCAGGTTACGGCCACGCATCGAGAGGAGAGGACCTCATAAAGTGACGACTACCTACGCATCGGCCACTTTCAAAATTGGCCAGGAGCTCTGGCGGAGGGGGTGAAGTGCAAAGTGGGGGAGGGGCAGGAGGGCACAGGGGCAGATGTGCAGCATTGACAGATGCCGAAAATAGCAAATTATTCGCAAAACCATCGAGCGTGTGTCGGGTCCTGTCGAAGGGATTGCAATCGATTTTGGAATTATTCGTTTGCCGACAGATGCCCGGCAGTTGGTGAACCAAAAACTAATTGAGTATTTTTTGAAATATTTTTCTAAAACGACTGAAATATGCAAATAGACCTAAGAAAGCCGCCACTGGGTTTCTTTTTTCTCCATTAACCTAATCGATTTATTTCAATTTCCATTTGTTTGATCCCCCATAATAGTGTTGGTCTGGCTGTGTGGCATCAAGTGGCTGCAATAAATTTCGATTTCGATCATAGAAATCCAAACGTCCAGAAGCACTCACGAGCTTATGTGTACTTTCTTTATATATTGTATGAGTATGTATATGAGTTTCCAAATAGAGAACATTGATTTCACTTAAACGATTTTCCATTGCGCCCCCCGATCTGCCAGAATAAACAACAACAATTTCTTATTTCTTCTTCTGGCACAACTAATGTGGTGTGTTCCACTCCTCCCCGGGAGTCTAAGAGTGGGTGCACGTGTCTGTGGCAAGTGCCTTGGGTTTTTGGGTTCTGAATTGTGCGGGCGCACTGCCAACTATATAGTTTCTCGATACTGAAGACGAGGCGCGACTCAGGCTACGCCTAGCGCATATTAAGATGGTCCGAGGCAGGGCTCGTGTTTTCCACTGAGTGCCTTCTAATTAATATGCGGCACTCCTTTCTGGTTCTTGCCCCATTCATCCAAGTCGCGTTCTCTCCACAAACTATTTTCGGGTTCGTTTCGATTTGGGTTATTTACTGCCATTTGTCTTCAAAGCCCTAAACTTGGACTTCGTATTCGAAAAGTCTCAATTGAAATTTTAGCACGAAGCTGATAGGAATTTTTAAAATAAAAAAAACTTGACAAGAGGACCGTAAATATTAACACTAACAACATACATTCTTTGGCGGCAAAAAAATTGAATAAATTGTTTGATGTCTAGCCGGTTTGGAGACGAGGAATTTCAAAAGATTGCAAAACTTATTGCAGGAATGTGTACGCTATTCTGAAAGGTATTTTTAAAGAATGATATTCTTTAATAATTAAGAGATTAAGTGATTCTAGAGCTCAACCATAAACAACGCTCTGATTTTTCTGAAATATAAGCAACATTCCTAAGCTTTTAAATAGCTGACATGCCTGGATTTGTAATGATTCCAAGTACTTTGTATCAGAATTATGGCCTTCCACTTCTTCTGCACGGATCGTAAATTCTGGAAACATTTCTATCCGTAGAGTCTCTACCCGGAGAAGCATCTGCGGCTTTATTCGCTTTTGACTTTGACTTGTGGCCGGCCGCTGAATCAGTAGTTGGGTTCTCCATTATCGTGCCGATCATCAGCAGTTTTTATATGCATGTTCAGCTTATACATACCAGTATACATACAGAATATTGTATATATTCGTGCCCCACTTGAATGGTGCAGCACCAGCAGTCACTCCGCCCCTGGTTCTGGAACCCGCACTCGGCGGACAACTCATTCAGCGACAGGCAATTCGCCAGCAACGTTAAGTAAATTGATTCTTTAATTGTCGAGAATTGGTTACGAGTTGGTTTAACTCGCTTTTGCCGGCTGTCGCTGAACCGGCACTCCCGCTCAGCAGCTCAGCACCCCCCTTGGGTCCACCCACTCCATAATGCCCCCATCTGTTGCAGCAGCAGCAGCAGCAGCAGTGGTGCCTCGGATGCAAGTCGAATCGGAATGGGTATGTTATATGCCAGTGAATACCAGGCCATGGTGAACAGACAACATCGACTGAGGATGAGTCAGAGAATCCAAAATAAATGCCCGGGCCGAGCCGAGCCGGGCCGAGGAGGAGGAATTTCTGCACAGAACAAGGGCAGGGCCCTCACAATATGCCACACCCTCACCTCATCGCCCCAACAATGCCCCTCTGGTTCCCATACCGAAATCTTTTTTTATGCTTCGCGCTTCTCGATGTATTCGCGGTCATTTGATGCCTTCTTGCCCGGGCATTTCAATTCGCACCAAGCAGGCTACAAAATGCCATGAAATTCAATCCTCCGAAACAAACCTTAAAAAAAAAAATGCCAGCATAAAAAGCAAATAACAAAATCACGAGAAGACTCTCAAATTCTAAACAAAATATTTTTTGGAAAAAACACTGAATGGGCTATTATAGCTTTTTTTGAGTGAATCTTTAGAGGAAAATGTTTCTCTCAGTGATCCTCATTGATCATCAGTTAGACTTGTTGTTTACCCATGTCAAGCCCAGTCGGACAACTATGGAATATTAAGCAAATATGTTAAATACAGAGTGAGCAAACATAAATTCCTGGCAAAACATGTCAGCAGATCAGTCGGAGATGGTCCCAAAGGAAACTGCCATTTCTTAGGAGGTAGGTCTTCCACCATTTCGCAATCCAATCAATCTGATGATAATCGCATTGTTTATGGATTGGGGTAAGCAAACAACAGGGAAAAGGGTTCCAGATTCCAGGTTCCAGGTTTTAGGTGATCTCCCTACCGACGACGACGACCAATAATGTTCTCACGCTTCTTCGACACGCTTTTTACGGGCTACCTAGAATTGTGGTGAATCGAGGGGCTAATTAATACGAGAACCGTTGGCCCCTGAATTCGATACTCCCTAACCTAACCCTCCAGGAACTCCATTTCCCTATTGATCAGAAAACTCGTAGAATTGTTTTCGCTATTTAGCCGCTGGCTCATTTCCTGGGCGCACAGACAATGGTCGAAGTTGGAATAATTAACAGCCGTAACCGATTCGGAATCACAAATGGCAAACAGCAAATGGCAAATGGCACACACCTATGTGTGTGTCTATGTGGCATACCTCCCCTCTTTAGAGTCATCAGCTATTGAATGGGCCGGGAAAAACTTGAATGTACTCGGGACGACGGGACGACGCCATTCATCTATCGTGATAAATAACTGAATTAATGTGACGGCCTTTAAACAATAAATTATTAAGCTAACTGTTCGAGTCTACTCAGTGCGAAATGTGCAAAAATTACACAACTAATAAAAACATTAGAGATTTACTACACGTACATAAAAAGTCATTTGAATAATGCGGAAACCTGACAAGGTTTGCAAAATGTCATCAGACAAGAGATCATCTATGATTCACACTTTCCTGGGAATCCTAATATTTTTGTCCAAAAAACATGTGATTCATTTATTAAAATTTAAATAAAAGATTATTTCAAAATTAGTCATGTCATCAGTGGGGTTCCTATTAATAGGCGTCTCCTGAGTATGCCATTTCGTAATGATCCCAAGAGATCATAAATATCATCCTAAAAGATCCAAAGATTAATACCCCATTACATGATGATTTTTGTCATCTTTTTTTTTTACAAGTTTTATTCCACACTGATAACATTATTGGGTTGACCTAATCAATCTCCCATATTTATTTTGTCCGGGTGCCGATCAGTGGAACAAATGTAGGTCAGAACCGGTTTAAAACATTCCGGCAACGACATTATCATCTCGACCAGCTCACGCCCAACAATCACAGCGATTTATAGTGAATTCCTATTCCAATTCCTGTACTTCAGATCTCCGTCCGAATCTGATGCATTGCGATCAGTCTGATGTTTTTGGGGTCGCCCTCCCATTCCCACACCCGTTTCGATTAGATTGTGTAGGGATCGGGGGGAGAACCTATGATTGCATCAGGTTTAACCCCAGAAAGCACTTACCCGTGGAGCTGCCCACGATCAGTAGGAGTCCGGCAATTAGGAGGGCTCTTCTGGACATCATTATTCTTTATTTGATAGTTGTATATATAAAGTTCTATATAGATCTAAGTGCACTGGCCAACGTTCGTTGGAAAAATATATGTATCCGGTAGAGTCTTGGCTTTTTGTCCAATTATGGAAAATCTGTGTCACCTGGGGCACTATTGATTTCTGCTGATCTTTTTGGGTTTTTTTCAGAAAATTATGCCCTGTAATTACTATGTTGACACTAAATAGTTTCAATTTCCGGATAGCACAGTCAGCACTTTTGTAGAATTATCTGCCTTTTGTGATTGATTGGATACTTTTCGTGCTTTCTTTTATTATTATATACTTTTTCTTTTTATTTAGATTCAACACGGGCACACACAGAAGATCACAAGAAGAATTCTTTTTTGAATTTCAGTTCAGTCTCGATTCTGCTCAGTTTGAAATTCCGTTAACAAACCGTTCGGGGCAACAGTGGATGTACGATTGAGGGGCTACCAGTTCTCAGTCTATGTGGCCAGCCAGTTCAGCCACTTTAACAGCACCACGACCGAAAGAGAGCGCTCAAGAGAGAGGGAAAGTGTGTTAAGAGAGACTTTTTGAGGTGGCGCGAAAAAAAATGTTATTTAAAAACATTCTTGCCCGATGAGGGGTTGTATTTATAGAAGGAAAGCATTTCCTGGCCATAAATATGAATTAGCGGATGTGGACCGATGGGTAAGAGGATTGCGATAAAAAAAAAATAAAAGAAAAATGAATATCCAAAAGTTGCCAAATAAAAACGTGGTGCTCCGGCAAGCTCCAATTAATTTACAATTAAGAAGCAAAATGCAATATCGTTTTGATTATGCCACATGCTTGAGCTAAATTCCTGCAATTGCTGCACAGCACATGCACGTCCATATGTGTGTCCACGAATTGCGCTTTTTTTTCGCTCCGCGTCGAGTTACACTCGTCGGTAAGATTCGCGGAAATTTATTTGCATCCCCCGGAGACAATTTGCTTGATGCAATTGCGGCTTTTTCTCAGGCCGGCAATAAAGTCAGCATGTGAAGCCGTGATTTCCTTGCGGCAGACCGGGAATGGCGGCTGATGACTCCCCGAAGTTGGGGGGCAAGGATTGGAATATGGAATTGCTCCATTGCAAGTTTGTTTATTTCCCAGTGCCCGTTGAGATGACGCCTACATCGCCAGCCGAGGAGAGATACAGATACTTGGCGCAACAGATGCAGATACAATTTATGAGTGCGACAGCGACCGCATTAAATGTATCTACATGCAACATTTGCACTGTACAAACAAACAAACAATTAAAATTAATCTACGAGCATAAAACAAAGTGCATTATGCTTTACACAGATACATATCTTTGTGGATACTGCACTGGAGGAAAAAATATTGATCCAAAATTAAAAGTTAGGTCTAAAAATTGATCCATAGCTAGTAGAATTGTTACATGTATATTGGACAATTATTTAATTTTCTTTTATTTTTATTAAAAATTTATTAAAATTAGATACCTATGTAGTCTTAGATTTCCAGTGCACTTGGTGCAATGTTTGTGTTGTCTTCTGTTGGGTGCCAAGCTTGTAAACATCCGCAAATTTAGAACAATTCCAAGGGGGCCTCTGTAAGGGATTGAATGGGCGTGGATATTAATCAAATATTTATATTTACACGTACTCGCATCCAAGCACATACACACACAACTAACAACACCCATGGCAACCTCATGGATACACGGGAATGCATACAAAGTGAAAGATTTTCTGGTGGCGGTCGCTATGCATTTGGAGAATTTCCAAGAATTCTTTTCTTTTGAAAACAAATTAATCAAACAACAAGGGCGACAACAAAGTTAAAAGCCAGCAGAAGAATGGATGAATAGAAGAAACACTGCGCTGCTGACAGCCCAGACATATTTGAGTTGAATCACCCGCGAGAATTGAATTGTTAACAGAACTTTTAGGGGCTGCGCAGACTCCATGCAACAGGAACCATTGTGGACGTTCAGATAGGTGACGAAATCTTTAAAGTTGAGGGTTATTGGTCTCAATGAAGAGTGTTAGAACTTTAAAGTGCCTTCGTCACTGAACTTTGTCTCATCTACAAGTTGCATTTAAGAGAACTACCTAAGAGAGTGGTTGCAACAAGCCAACAGATTCTTTGGGCGGCTTTGCTGCACCAGCAGCTGCAAGGGAATGCTGGAAAGTGGAACTGCCACAGCATTTGAAATGGAATTGACCTAGGCTCTCTCTCTCCCTCCAAAATTTCTCCAGCTCTCTCCCAACACTTTTGCTCCTTGCACTCGTGCTTTGCATACTAAGTGAGAAATTAAGTTTCCTTGTGGCCTGCAAACCGACTATGTTCTGACACATTTCTGGATTTCCAATTGGGCACTCCTGCGACTGTGCAATATGAGTCATCTGCTCTCCTTCGCCGCCTTCGGTTATTATGCTGGCTCTCTGCCCGCCTTCCTTCCCCAAAATTCCTTCCTGCCACACTAGCACAACATACACAGTGGAGTCTCTTAGTTCTGGAACGAATTTTTAATATTTATTTTATATTTAATAGAGTATTTTATAATAATAAATTAGTTATTATAATATAGTACTATATAATAAAATACACTTAAGACTTCTTTCTTTTTATGATTGATGTTTTTAAAACATTATAAGAATATCCTCGGGCGTATACTTAATATTTTTACAAAGCCATAACTTACCAGGTCCATAAGTCCTTTAAGTGTTACATCTTGATTAAGTATAAAATTATATCCTCCCTATTATTATCCTTCTTAAAGGAAGCCATACTGTACCGAATATCCCTCTGTCGGCATTCGCAATCGCACTTCTTATTTTCTGCTGACAGTCCTCGACGAACAACAGAATCGAAAACGACTGCCCACGCAAAGTCAAGACAAAAGCTCTTTGGAGGAAAAAAAAAACCGAACCTTAGTGACAAAACAAAAAGTTCAGTGTCTCGGCAGCCGTTTATCCTCCAAGTTGGCTAAAAAAGCGAACGGGTTCCCGTAGTTGCATACTCGTATAGAACATAAAAACGCGAAAAGGACTGTGAGGAGTGGCATTTGCATACATATTTCAATCATAAATAATCGCTTAAAATGAGGCATATCTGGCTGCTGCTACTTATCGCTTGCGGATCCATCCACTTTCCAGGTAAAAAAACAAAAATCCAGGTTCCATCTTCTCACATCTTTTGCCGCCCCAACAAAAAACACACATATACCAAAAAAAGAAAAACAAATTAATTTAGTTTCAATTAATTATATCTTTATGTGAAGCTGATTTCTGATTGGTAACATATGCGGGTCCTATAAAAAAGATAACGTCTGAAGGGCTTAATTCCCACATATTTATTGTACATCAAGCACAAAGAAATACTTGAAAATTTCTTGTTTGTTTGCTTCTACCCAGTACCCACTCATGGCAGCTAATTTGCATAATCTCGAGATTATAATCCTGGGCGAAACGACTTGTGCACTAGTGCAGTAGTGCTATGTCTCTATGTGTGTGTGCTTAAGTAATCGATGGATTACACTTACCCCATTTTCCATCCGCTGACCCAATAGGAAAACAACAAAAAATTGGAAACCCTGAAAATATAATATCATGTGCACTGGCGATTGCCTCATCCATCATATTAATATCAAATAGTCAAGTGTTTTGTGTATTCACCGGAGGTTGCATTTTCGCCATGTCCATACCACCGCGCCATATCGATAGCCACATGGAGCCCGATGCAAACTCCATAAAACCATTGTCTGTCACCCAAAACCATCAAAGCAAAAGTGCCTCAAAGGGACGCCACTTTTATGGCAAAGTTTTCCTAAAACGCTCGCCGGGAATTATTAGATTGGAAAGGGGGGAGCCACATACAGAGTGCTCGGGAAGTATTGTCTGCAAGAACGTGTCTCATTCACTGAATTGACGACAATTTGGGAACCACTTGTAAGCAGGGCTTGTCTACATGAAGGCCATGCACTGAGAGAAAATAAAGATAACTTTTACTTTTAACAGAAAGGATTTAAATTAAATGAAAAATATTTTAAGATCTTATCAGCTTTCTTGGGAGTAAAGTCTCTATAATCATTAAATATTATAAGAACTATTTTATTATAATTTTTTTCTAGTTTTCAAAAACTATTCATTTACTACAAATAGAGAAATTAGTGGAACAGTAAATGAAGAGAAATATATGGGATGGAGAAAAGGAGGAATGAGCACATTGTTAAAAATATCAACATGATTAAAGTGGCTCTTGAATAATTAAGCAACTGGGAGCGTGTTCGGGTTAGGGTCCGGCGGGGAGCTGTATGGTAGATGAGCTGTCAAAAAATGGGAGGGAATATGGCGAGGTAATTGCCGCATCATGGGTAAATTCTGGGGTTATTTATGCGGCTTATCGATATTAATTATTTTATCCATATCCCAGAACACCACAAGCGTGGGAGGATGAGTCACAATAATGTGGTCTCTTTAAAGGGCAGGCTTTAACTTTCTACAAACAAATCATTTATTGTTTGACCTAGAAAAGATAGAGAATGACAATTTCTATTTATCTTTAAAATTTTATAAGAAATTTCTACTTAAAACTTTAAGGAATTTATCTTTAATAACATAAAGTATTGCCTACTTTTGGGATTTAATGGTCATATGACCCCCAACCGTCAGGCTGTCATCAAAACACCCCAAGACATTGTATATTTTTATGATAGTTATTATGATCTTAAAGATTAAATCATCCCCGAATATTCCCAATGACCCAAATACCAATTTCCGGGTAAACACAAGACGGCAACTGCGCCAAGGCTAAGAAAGGTGTCCCAACTTGTCTGCCAATGTCTTTCCTTTTTGCCTAACGAGAGTGTAAACAAAACTAATAACTTTGGCACACACACTGCCACCCACACCCACACTGAACCACACACATATACAATAAATATAAAGCTAGGAAAATTGGCAATTTTCACAGCCATTAAGCAATGCGCTAAACGTGCAAATGACGCAACCAAAGCGAGGTGGCACACACATCCTTGTGCCAAATCCAGATATCATACATATCTGCAAAAAAGTCATGTACATATGTGTGTATGCATATGCTGAGTGCTCCCGAAAAGAATTCCATTCCGTGACCTGACCTCCAACAGGAGTTGGAGCCATCACATCACATAACATCGCCCGGCTGCTCCAGAATGGGCGTTGACACGCTCCCAGGGAAAAAACGACGGGCCGTAAAAAGGGGCTTGGCAGCATATTTCGTATTCCGTTAATGGTTTTATGTTGCCAGCGAGCTGGCCTTTGGGGCTTAGGCATCGAAACTATCGCCAGACACGGAAATCTGGCACGGCACCTTCTCGAGTGCTTTTCAATGCATACCTAATTACCATCTATTCCAGGTGTGCTGACCTTGCCGGAGGCGCACCCAGCCAAATCTTCAGCGGCGGCTGGAGGTGGAAACGGAGGTGGCGCTGGAGGAGGAGCCGGTGGTGGTGTTGGTGGGGCTAGTGCCCAAACTAGTGGCGAACCCGGATCAGAGCTGGGAGATTATGATGACGAGGAGCCGCAGAAGGCGCCCGGAAATCTGGCCAAGTCCACACCAACTCCCAAGCTGCCGGCTCCCTTTTTCAACCAAAAGGCAGTGGATGTCTATGTGCCTGAAAACGCCACCAGGGTCAAGCTGGAATGTCCTGTTAAAAACTATGATCGTAAGTTAGAAGGATATTACCTTTAAAACAATATATCTTCATATTTCCTTTTAAAGCCGACCGGCATGTGATCCTCTGGTACAAGGACAACAACCAACTGAGCAATGGCGAAACGCTGATGAACAACATTTACACTCTGGACAGTCAATTCTCCCTGACCGTTCCCTTGTCGTCCAATGCCACGGAGTTGAGGTTCTCGTGTAGTGTGATGCCTCAGAATGTGCGACGACAGGTCACCATCCGTTTTGGCCCGGAGCCAAGCACCCCAGCTCCGGCTGTAGATCCGTCTCCGGACGCGACACCACCACCCGCCCATGATTCAGCGACCGATTTCCGCCGAGACATTGGCCTTTGGCCGGCGGCTGCATTGCTCTTGGCCGCCATCCAAGTGGCTGGCCAGGCACTCTACTAAAGCTGGCCAAGTTCAAGAGCTCCGTAAAAAGAATCGCACCACCGGCATTGACGCCAACCGAGTTACGAGTTTGGAGATGCGCACCGCAACAGATGAGCTTGACCTTTTGGGATGAACCCAAGGATTAGCGATTGCTTGGCAAATTGAGTTAGATGTTGCTTTGTTATTGTAATATAGGACGACGATCTTGTGGGGAGAAGCTACTTCCTCCAGTTATAGGTTTGATTTAAACTTCCGATTCTCAGCTTCCTCTACTTCCAAGCTATATAAATATGTGCAGTTACCAATCGATTCCTTTGAAGGTGCAACTTAATTTACTTGTTAAAAGATTACAAAAAAAAAAACGCAAAGTTTTCCTTAGGAATATATACATAATTATATATGCTACATACATATATGTAGGATCGAATTAGCCTAGTGTATTTGCTTTAAACGTGCGCTTAATGAATCGAAAACTTAGTGAATAATTGATTTTAACTTAGCGGAACAAAATGCGATAAACAAGTGGCTTAATCAGTGTAAAGAGATACGGTATACTATATGTACGATCAGATTATGTGTACATCGAAACAATGTATGTTATTTTGTCGGATGTAAACTGAAATAAACTATAGCTGCTATAGACCCAGCTGAATCCATTCAATGCTCACTGGTACGAATCGACGAGGTAAGCCACCCCTAAAAATGCTGGCGTTCGGCCAGGATTCCCTCGAGTGTGTCTGTGTATGTGTGTGTGAGAGGGAGGTGGAGGGGAAAACACACGCCCGACAGGGACAACAAAGCGCCGTGTTCGTTATCCTGCAGCTGCAACGCGGAGGAGTAGGAGGAATTCCGCAATGTGCGTAGGGTATGCCAGCCATATGGTGGTTCCTTCGGGGTGGCGGTATTACTTACGGTGGTGGCACAAGCCATCATAAGTTTAGTTTCCTGGATTCAGTCTTCAACTGCATAGCGTACAGGACACACTTCTAGTCAGAGGAACAAATCACAGCCGAATAATAAAGGTGGGTACTGTGAATTCTGGGTATCTGAATCTTTCTAAAGATTGCCCCATTCTTTAGATGATTCCGCAAACCGAAAATACAGACTCTATTGAAGAGACTCTGCTCGAGGAATGCCAATTCTTCGAGGATTGCGGAGAAAGTTCTTGTGATCGGGCGGAAACAGCTATGGAGGTGTATCACAGAATCCTCCAACGCTTAAGCACCCATCCGCAGGATTACTCCACAAAAATGGATGAAAGCGATTTTATGAAACAAATCTGGATAGCCAGTTTCACGGGAGGCCCAATACAATATCGTTGCTAGTTTAATATTCCAAATGATTTTTGTGATAAATGAATATAATTATTTAAAGAAAGACCTACAAAGTCCAATTAATTCAGGGATAACTCCATAAAGAAAATAAAAACCTTATAGCAGTACATTTTTATTTAAAATCTTTATTTGAATTTCGGGAAAATGAATTATTAATTATAAAAAAAAACTTACATTACTTACCCATCAAATAGTTAAAAGATAAAATATGTTTTTGTTTCTTTTTTAATAAATATATGTGAGTGAAGTTAAGTTACTTAGCAACTTTAATAGTTTATTCATAGTTTCTTTTGGTTTTATAAATTCAATTTTTTATTAACTTATTTGTAAAATCTTTTAAGATCTTTGATGACCAAATGGGATTTTTGATCTACCGTTTTATTTTGCCTTTCAATGAACAATGTGATTAATAGATTTTGTTATAGTTTTTTTTACTACTTCACTTGAAGGAGAAATATATCCTGATTCTACGGCTAATGACATGTGTATAAATGTGTTCATATATATTGATTGTGAAAGGGGGGTTCGGTTTATTTAATTATAATTGGCTCTGCTCGGATAATAGTTATTAAGGTTATTAATTTTATTTCTCTTTCAGTTTTTTGTTTTTTGTTTTTAACAACCTTTTCTGTTGTATCATAAAGTTAAAAAATTATGAAATCATAATTTTAACAGTAAATATAATATATATATTAAGCTTATGATCAACTGGCATTGTCCAAACGCCAAACGATTGAACAGTTTTATTTATTCATAAATTAAGGTTAAATTTATGTTTTTTTTTCGATTTTATAGCGCACATACGCATTTTTATTTTTATTTTTATAAATTATTCATTCATAGCTTCACTTGAAATTCAGCTCCTTCTTGCCACACCAAGAAGTCATTATGATTATAAATGGTTCATGCTCTTCCCCTCACAAGTTTTATAAACATAAACATCGTCCTTAATTTCATTTTATAGCAGCGTGGGGCGAAATCAACGGTTCAACGGTTGAATGCAGAGTTCTATTATTTATATTTTTTGAGTATGGAATACGGATTGGGCTTATAGGACTTGATGGGCGGTTCGCGCATACGTTTCATGTCAGTCGGATACGGACGTTTATAAGCCGCAGCGCTTGTCGGTATTATTGATGGACGTGCTATAAAATTCATTGATTCATTATTACTTTTAAGAGGTTTTTCGTATAATTAGGAATGGTTTAGATCATTAAATATACAAATGGTTATTATTTAAAATTAGTCATTCCAGAGTATTATATTATTGCATATTGCAACTTATTTTTTTTTTTTGTTTTTGTTTTTGTTTCATTCACTGTTTCTACTGTCTACCCCCAAAGGAAGCCCATCAAAAGTGCAACCCGCAAAATCTAAAAGGTGAATTGGAGGCTGCAAGCGAATCCAATCTAACGGATCCCAGCATTAATTCTCTAAGGATGAAAGGATCGGAAAGAATGCGTGCAAGGGACCACTTACGTTTACTATACTCGTAGCCCGTGGGCGGGCGTTTTGGGGGCAAACGGTGCTCGTATTCGTAAACCACCTCCTCGGGATCTTCCACTCTACAAACAACAAGATTATTAGTGACAAACACAATACACGTTGGCCAATAGGTTTAAGAGTGGTAGTAATCCGGTCCGACTAACGTTTCATCCTGGTATTGGGCGGTAAAAGGTACAAAATTATACTTTACAACTAACTTACTCAGGCGGATTTTCCGCAGCTCGCTTGATGAGACTTATATACTTCGGGGCCCCATTGCTGCTGCTGCCGAACTTCTTATCAAAGACAGACCTGCCATCAAAACAAAATGATTGTCAGGTGATTGTCAGGTACAACGTAGTTAACACTTACCTGTAGGCCTCCAGATTAGGGCCATGTATGCTCTTGGCCGACTCCGGATCCATTTCCATTAGCTCGCGTAGCTGCTCATGGGAAACCTCGTCGTTTTTGTCTGGAATCAAATACTTACGGATCTCGGCTAGGGCATATGCGATGCGGGCATAGCACTCTGCCGGTGTGGCCACCGTACTAACCTCTAAGAAGAGGTCCTTCTGCAAGTGGGCATAGCGGGGATCCCCTGAGCTACGGAGCGATTCCTCCTTGTTTCGATCACGTATAGAGCTGCGACCTTTGATGGCTATCTTGCACTGAGTTTCCTCCTGCAGACGCCTCAAGGAATTTCCCTTGGGTCCCAATATCTTTCCAGTAAAGTTGAACTACAAAAAGGACATTAAAATGGCGGCCAAAGGGTGAGATTTAAGCACTCACCTTCGGGTACTGCTTGACGGGAACAAAAACCTTCTGGGTAATCTTCATGGGCTTCTGCTTGTAGACATCGGCGTAGAATTCCTTGCCGGGAATACGACCAGTACAGTAAACACGGTCCACGGCTGCAAATACAAATTAGGGTGGGGAAGACCATGGCATTGAGTTTACCTTCGTCAATTAGTAGGGCGCACAGTGGGAACTTGGACGACAAACGCTGGCGCTCCTCGTCCAAATCGGCCAAGAACTTTTGGGCCACCTCATTTAGGCGTGGCTGATGGTCGTGGGTTGCAGGTTTCTCGGTAAATTCGGGCGTTGCTTCCATATTCAATTATTATTTTTACTCAAAAAGCGACTTGCTATGAAAAACTGTATCTATAATAGTGCTGGGAGCCTGTCGATAGTTGCCTTCACCACACACTAGTTTGGCGTTGCGGATTATATTCTTTATTACTGAATTAAATTACACAGGCAACTTGATTACGATTTTACTGCTGACTTTAAATAAAGTTTTTTAATGTAAACAGGATTAAAAACAGATTTGTTTAAAAAGGACTATGATTAAGCCCGAACTAGTTCATCTTAGTCGAGTAATCGATACTTTTGGCGGCTCGTGGATGTCCATCCCTAGACCCATTTATTTGTTTTTTCGTCAAATATAAACAATGGCTAGCGAGGACTTATTTCCGCAGGAATTAACCGAAGAACAGGACCATGAGCTGGAAAAGGCTATGGAAACAGAGCCGATAGATTCCGAGCAAACAGAGGAACCCCCAGAAGAGCTGGAGGCTGAAGAAACCGAGAAGGAATCGCCATCCGAAAATGGAACCGACAGCACAACCGAAAAGCCTGGTTAGTGAAAAGTGTTAAAATAATGCTTTTACGCTTTAATTAATGTAATGTAATGTAATTTAAGCAACCAATGGTGTTAAGCCAACTACTGATCATGAAAGTGACTCCAAAATCACGCATCTCCCTTTGGCTCGCATACGAAACATCATGAAACTGGATCCGGATCTGCATATGGCCAACCTCGAGGCTGTGTTTACATTGACCAAGGCTGTGGAACTTTTTGTTGCCTCTCTGGCGAGGGAATCCTACACGTACACCGCACAGTCCAAAAAGAAAACCATCCAAAAGAGAGACGTGGACATGGCCATCTCTGCCGTGGACAGCTTGATGTTCCTTGACGGAGCCATGAACTTTTAAGCCCCCCTGTGATTGTAAAAACCCATCCCATTAAAAACTGATATTCGTTTATATTATATTTTATTATTTGGGTAATGTAGCGGCAAACACATTCGGTTCTATTCAGCCTAGTAGGTAGATATTAAAATTAGAAGTATGGTATAAAACAATGGTCGGTTCACAAGGTCTAAAAACAAATATATAAGAATAAAAATCATAATCATAAACGCAACGTTGAACGTTTCACAATACTCTGGAAATCTCGTGGGGAATTGTATTGAAGCCGGCATTTGGTTAATTTTAATTTTTTTTTTAACTGCTGTTGATTGTGTTTGTTTGTTTTTAATAATTCTGTCCACAAGCGGTACTTACTTTTCGTCGTTGGGTGGTATATATGTAATTTATTAGATATTTTATTGTTGGTTTTAATCACCATAATAATCTTATGAGACAATATTTTCAAAGCTTAGTCTAACATTACGCATTGATTAATTGGTTTTTGGGGATTTTGTTTGTGTTTTCGCTTTAACTAGAATTAAATTGTATTTGCAGTTTGATTTAGATTTAAATTTAGAATTAGATTTTTTGTGTACATCATTTTTTGTTCGAGGATAAAATTTGTTGCATTGATCATTTTTTTCTTATTTTTTTTTTTTTAATGGAACACAATTTGAATATTGGAACAATTGCAATCAAAAATTGGGGTTATCATTCGATTTTAGTTTTATATAGTATATTAAATAGGTGTGCATAGTTGGATTGTTGACTTTAAATATTAACGATAGTTTGTTTTTGGAATATATATATATATTTTATTCTTTATGCTTAGCTTTGTTTTGTTTTTGTTGTTGTGGTTGTTGTTGTTGTTGGGGGTTGGGGTTGTTGTTGTTGTGGTTTCATGGATATTGGTAAATCGATGGGTTAACGTATTTTCGGATATGGAGCCGAGCGATAACGCACGCTTTCACGAGATCGGGATCCTGTTTCGTAGTGTGCAGATGAATGTGATCCCGAGCCCGAGGTTGTTGGTCGATACGACGATGATGAACGACCGTTGCTTGGTTTTGCTATTTTGGAAAAAATTTTATTTCTTTTTTAGATTTTGAAGTGTTTTTTGGTCTCTGTGGTGCATTTTTGTTTTTGGTTTTTTTTTTTATATTTGCTTAATATATGTACATTTAAAAAAAAAAGAAAATAAATTATTTAACCGGTTTTGAATGCACTACACCCTAGAAAAAGTTATATTTTCATTGTTTTCCTACAAGATTTTTCCGGAAGCGTATTTTAAATTTGGATTAAAAATAATTTTTATCACAGTTACGATTTTGTACATTTAAGATATGTTTTTATGAGTATTTTAAACGCTCTCCTAAATGATATTTTTTTCTACATTTTCTACATTTAAATTCAAACAAATTAGGTTTTTGTTGGTTTTTTAGTTTTTTTTTTTTTAAATTCTGTTGGTTCTTGATTTTGTGAGTATGTTAGTAGTCGTCCAATTCATGAAGATGATTATATTGTCGGTACGGTTTAGTTGATATCGCCTCTGTTCAGGCATAGTGCATTTAAAATCTCGTTAAAATAGGATGGCTTTCCGTTTATAAGAATTTTTGGTACACGGTTTTTATGGCGATTGTTTAAAATATATATATATATATATTTTTGCATTTTGAATTTTTTTTCTTAGCTGGAAATTTTTTTTCGGTTTTTCATTTATATTTTTCTGGTTGTTTTTTTTTTTCTTTTTTACGCGATATAAGTTTGGTTTTGTATATTTTGATTTTCTTTTATTTTCTTTTTGAATTCCTGGTGGAGGGAAAAAGATTAATTTGTTCTATTATGCTATACATCTTACCTGAATATGCCGCTGCATAGGAAGACGAGGACGAGTGTGGATGATACTCACGCCGGTAGTCACGCTCATAGGAGCTGCTTTCGTATTGCGCGTGGTGGCTGGAGTGCTTCGTGCTCGGTGGCGGTGGTGTTGCATAGCGATCGTACTCTCCATGATGATCGTACAGTTCGTGGTCCCGTGATCTACTAAGGTCGACATATATTTCGGTTAAGATAATTCAAATTATGAAACCAACCTGTGTGTTTTTACGATTCCGTAGTTAGGATCGTCCATCACATAGCGCGCCTTCTCCAGAATCGAATATACTTTAGGTTTCGACGATGCGGGAGGAGGTGTGCTATAAACCCAAACCAAGATTCAATAAATAATTCTCTCTAACAAAAAACAAGTTCACCTTACCGAGAACTATAAGCACCATGTTCTCCATAGGACTTTGAATAGTGGTGAGACTTTTTGTACAGGCGATCCTTGCCGTCCATTTCGCGTAGCTGCTCCAAACGAATATCGTCGTTAGCATCGGGAATCATAAACTTTCGGATCTCGCCCAACGCATAGCTGATCCTGTGATATGCTTCCGCCGGCGGGGCCACTGTAGATATCTCTACGTGAAGGTCCCGACTGAGATGGGCGTACTTGGGGTTCCCAGCGCTGCGCAGCTCCTCCTCCTTGCCATGATCTCGCATCGAATTCCTGCCCATTACAACCATTTTGCACATAGTCTCTTCTTGCAGCTGCCGCAGGGTGTTTCCCTTAGGGCCGAGGATTTTGCCAACGAAATTAAATTTGGGGTACTCCTTGATGGGAAAGAGCACCTTCTGGGCGACACGGATGGGCTTTTCGCTGTAGACGTTGGCGTATATTTCTGGCTTGGGAATCCGGCCACTGACCAAGATCTTTTCGACCTCTGTTGTTACCAGTCCAAAATCAATTAGATCTGCTACGTCTTACGTGTCAATAGTTGTTTACTCACCGTCATCCAGTAACCTCTTGGTGATTATGTGCTTCTTTTCAAGTGTCTTCTTTTCCAGCAGGCACTCCTGCAAGTAGGCGTTAGTTTTCTCGTTCAGCTGGGGCGTGTCTCTGAGGGTGGTGTGGCTGGTGCTGTGGCCTCCACCGTCCGCCTCCGGAGTCTCCTGAGCACCGGTCGTCGCTGGCTCCTCATCCCGCCGCTTTCTCTTGTAGTCGGCGGCGTCTTCATTGTAATCTCTGTCGTAGTCGCGGGGCATCCCGTATCTGTGTTAGCTTCTGCGATAAAAATTGACAAATTTCCACTATGCGGAAGAAAGATTCTACTTTTGCTGAAAAGTAGTAGGCTGAAAAAATATGTATGTGGTATCAAAGCGATAAACTATTTAATGTTATCGTTGGGGTGTCAGCGATGTTACGGCTGTTGGAAAATAGCCAATTAAATCGAATAATTGTATTTAACTTACATAACAAAAAAACTCTAAAAAAAAACGTACTAAATAAAATTTTTATTACATGATATTATATATATACTAATCTTAAGAAACAATCATAAAATTTTAACATTTGCAAATGCTTTATGAACTTTTGAATATGCAGCTGGGCGCTCATCTCTATTTGAAACATATCGTTTATCGAATCTCTGCGTTCAAATTTTACAAATGCATGTTTTTATTTTAAAATGCATGCTTTTGGCAGCACTCCAATATTTTTAACAAATTCACACCTAAAGTGACTTAATTATAAGAAGTAGAACTTATAGTTATAAACTTTAATTCAGTCAACTTCAAGAACCAGCTCTTGAATCAGCCATATGAATTAAAAATCTGTTATGGAAGCAATTAATGTGATTAAATCTTAAGAAGTGTTACAAAATTTAATTAAATTTTAAAATTTACAAGAGTGACCAGTTTAAAAATATCATTTCTGAATAATTCGGCGATATCGGACATATAATATATTTCATTGATATTTTTATATTGAAATATATAATCGATATATCGATATGTTGATATATTTTCGACATCCCTAATACACACTTGGACGGGGAGAGAAAAATTAGGGCCACTGGGAAGGCTGAAGTCGCACACTTGCTTGGCTAGCTAATCGAATCGACTACAACGCGCTGCCGACGACCTCCCGCAGATCATCGCCATCAGAAAACACGCGACGCGACCCATCCTCGTCCACACCAGCAGCAATTGATCGAGTGTCAAGAAGCAGGACAAATGGCGGAAAACGGAATGCGTGTGCCAGGGTCAGCCGCGACGGCGGCATCTTCCGCCGGAGCTGTGACCACCAGCAGCACCGGCACTAGTAACGGGGAGCACGAGAACGAACACAACGCCAGTGCCGACAGCGAGAAGGCCCAGCCGGCGCCGGCGATCCAGAAGTACATGCAGGAGCTGATGACGGAGCGGTCCCGCATGGAGAATCACTTTCCGTTGGCAGTGAAGCTAATCGATGAGGGTAAATCGTTTCGATAGGGTTTCTCTTCCAGTAAGACTACAATTTTATCTTCTTTCCTGGGTTTCTAACAGCTCTGGAGCGCGTGCAACTGAACGGACGCATCCCCACTAGAGACCAGTACGCCGATGTCTACCAGCAGCGCACTATCAAGTTGTCTCAGAAGGTGCACGTGCCCATCAAGGATAAGAAGTTCAACTATGTGGGCAAACTACTGGGCCCCAAGGGCAACTCGCTGCGACGTCTGCAGGAGGAGACGCAGTGCAAGATCGTCATACTCGGCCGCTTCTCGATGAAGGACCGAGCCCGCGAAGAGGAGCTGCGCAACTCTGCGGACGCTAAATACGCCCACCTGAATCTTCCGCTGCACGTCGAGGTGTCCACCATTGCCCCGCCCGCTGAGGCGTATGCCCGTGTGGCCTACGCCCTTGCCGAAATCCGTCGCTACCTCACGCCGGATAAGCACGACGATATCCGTCAGGAACAGTACCGGGAGCTCATGGAGGACCCGGAGGCGGCCAAAAAGTTGACGCTGCGTCAGTTGCAGCAGCAGTCCAATGCTGCGGCCACCGGAGCTGTTGGTGGGGGCGGAAACGGAGCAGCTGCCGGTTCGGGGGGTAATAACGGCAATGGTAACCAGCGCTCTGGCGGCAACTACAGGTGGGTGATGTGGTGCATCTTTAAGCCACCTTTGATAATGATTTTTTTTTCCGTTTAGACAAAAGTTTCCGCAGCAATCGCACTATCATCACAACGACGAGACTGTCTACTATCGCTCACACAATAACGCCTACCACCAGCCAAAACCTTTTGTGCCAGGTGAGTTTATTCCTTTCTGACCCTGTTGTGCCCCTTAGACAATATTTGTGTCCCCTTACAGCCGCCCAGAGGGGCAATGCCATGCACACCACCTTGCCGCCACAGGCAATTGTGCGAGCCTCACCACCGGGCATGGTTGTCAGCGCAGCCAGTTTCAATGGTCGGAATGCCGGGCTTGGCAACGCCGGCGGCGGTGGGATCATGGCCAACAGCATCGTGGCTACTGGAGGTGGTATTGGGGGCACTGTACCACCCAATATGCGCTACCGTCCCGCTGCCCCATACCAGTTCGTCAAGAAATAATACGGACGGGAGGTAACACCGCCTGCTGCCGTTCGCTGTTTGTTCAACTATTCCTCACCATCATTAATGTCGTCCCATCCAGAAGGATTCACCACCATACGCCATCGCCATGCCCATCCAAACACCCGCAGTCACTGTCACAGTCAACCTCATATTCACATCCAAACACACACACACACACTTCTCCAAAGGTAGATGTAGTAATTATGAGAACATTGGAAACTTGTCATGCATTGAGTTCATCAGGATTTCGGCGGAGTGGAAACCAAAGCGAAACGAATGAGTAAATGTATGTTTAAGAAAACTAGCCTAAGTAGACGAATGCTCCTAACATCAAGAACACGACCCAACCATCCAAAAATGTAAAAGAAAAACGAAGAAATGATAGCATCCACCCTCACACAAGCACAGGACCTGCTAGAACTCCTTGAGGATCGGTATAGGAATCGGAATCGGAATCGGGATCGGGATCGGGATGAGAGAAGTCTGCGATCTGGAAACTTTGGAAGCGGTGTGTTGGGCTCAGCGAGCATTTGGAAATTAATGAAAAGAATTGAAGATGATGAGTACGGACCGAATCGAATGGATGTATTCAGGGATGATCCTAATCGAGCCAGATGTCCTTGTTTTGTTTTTCGTATATTATTATCACTTTATTTTATTATTGACACATACGATGATTTCATCAACTTCTAATTTATATCGATGATTATATATATATACCACTTTAATGTAAACATTAATACGTATCCTCCCAGCCAGCGCTTAATCCTTAACTCTGCTTTCTCCGAACCTGCGCCTAAGTTATTCTACTTTTGTTTACGATTTGAAGAGGAGGCTTTATAATTTTTTTTTTGTATTTGTTACGTTGCCAGGACAAAGAAACCGACTAAACCGACTTCACATAATATTGTATATGCAAGTATATAAAAGCTATATGATTTGTAACACTTACATAGTACACAGACCCACACCGAATCACGTATATATAATATATTCGAAGCATCAGCATATTCACGTAAAACTTAAACCAAAACCACATTAGAATCGCAAATGAGAATCTGCAGTCATATGTCTATGTCTATGCCAGGATAACCTGGTGGACATGGCAACCACATCCGATAGGAGAGAATTAAGCAAACACATGCATACATAATTGTTATTGTTGTTGAAAGCAACTAAAATTGTAATAGAAATTATGCAAATATACTTACGAATATGACGACAAATGTTAATTGCAGCCTAGTTATTATTTTGTTCACCAACAAGCCAACCTCCCAATCCATACACCCACCCACACTGGAAACGAGACCTAAGATATAGTCGTATACATACATGTATAGAGGATCAGATGGACTTTGAGTTAAATTTTGTTGAAGATGCTTCTGAAGCCACTCTCCCTAATTTGTCATAATTGAAAATTAAAATATGCATACAGACCCACACATACATATATATATGAGAATACGAAACTATATATTTTACAGTGCATTATTATATATTGCTGATTATCGTTAAATAAATTTCCAATTTGAACTCGCCATGTTGAATAAATATAGAACCGAAACATGATTGGAATTAAAATGAACATCTCATTTCTATTTCTTTACCATATTATTATCTTTCCCAATCAAACATAGCCATCTGTTGTGTTTAACAAATTATTTAATTTTATAGGATAACAAATACAGGTCAAGGGTCAGTCCACAGGACGATCCCACCTACAAGGCTCTGACAAGTTGCATCAGCGAGTAGGGGTTCTTGTTACTCATGAACTTGAGCTGCTCCTCGAAGCCCTTCGGCGTCTTGTTGATCCAGTGGCGATCCAAGTAGTAGTTTATGTAGCTGTGGAACTCCTTGTCGCTGTAGTTCTCCACATGGATAGGTACGAAGGGATCCAAGTGCTCGAATCCCTCTGTGCCCAGCAGATAGCGTGGCATGTACGAATCCATGTGGCCCTCGGTCATGGCAATCTTGTCAACGGAAAGGATACACACTCCGTTCGTCCAGTCATAGCTGGTGATGTTCAGGAAGGGGTGAGTGAGGGTGATCTTGTCGGGTGTTACCCGTTGCTTGTTGTCGGAGAAAATGCGAGTAACCGGATGGAAGAAGGCATTGAAACCGTCAATGGCCACCATCACCTTGCACTTTCCGGCAGTGGAGAGCAGCTTGATCTCGGAAATGAGCGCCGCCGTTGTCTCCGAAGCGTACTTGATGCGGGCTATTCCGTGCTCCACCAGTTCGAGCAGCGTGGAACCAGCTGGAGTACTTTCTCGTTTGCTCCACACATACTCCTTGCTGGTCTTCAGTTCGAGGCGCTGCAGGAGCTTGCTGTTCTGCCCTTTGAAGTGCACCAGCCAAGCGGCCGCGTCAAATGGCAGGTCGATCATGCCCTCCTGTCCCGCGGCATTAGACGCCTCTTTCGGACGCTTCATCCAGTTCGGCGCCCATGGCACGTGCACCAGCAGGAAGTCATTCACAGCACCGTAGTGCAGTACATGGGCCATGGTCAGGGTCTTACCCGTACCATTTTCTCCATAGAGCACATATCGCACCACGGGCTTGGACAGATCTGCCTTCTTAATGTAATCGAGCACCTCCAGGGCAGGATTCCTGACCATTAGACAAGCCTCTGTGAAGGTTTTAATCTGCTGTTCATATTGCTTAGGCAGTCCGCCACCGGCAAAGATCTGCTTTTTCTGTTCGGCCGGAATCGTGTAGAATTTAGCCACCTGGAGCGCCGAGTGCTCGCCGGGATTCGTCACCGCAGTCCGGAACTCACTGATGGCGGATGCCTCCGCGGGCGCAGCGGCTGCTGCGGCATTTGTTGACATTGACTTTGGCAGCACATGTCGCTGGAGCTGCACGGCAAGGCGATTCCGTATCATTTTCATTAAACAAAACGTTAAATAAGAGCTGCAAACGGACCGGATTAGAGACGAGAATACATCGATAGCGTCAGACATAGATTCTTGTTATCGATAAAATAATCGATTGTTGTCCATATCCAATCAGCCCGGCAAAATTGCGTCTCTTGCGAAATTAAGTTTTGTCTTTAATTTTTGGTAGTGATATTTAATGCGACATGTCATCCATTGAGAAATTGTCAATCCAGGGAGTTCGGAGTTTCGGCTCCAATGCCGAGGACATGCAGGTTGGATTTGTTATTCGATGAAAGCGCCAAACCTTGAAATTGACTTCCTGTTTCATAGAGCATTACGTTTTCTTCGCCTGTAACTTTAATTCTGGGAGAAAACGGATGCGGAAAGACAACCATTATAGAATGCCTTAAATACGCACTAACCGGCGAATCCCCGCCTGGCAGTGAAAAGGGAAAAAACTTCGTCCACGACCCTAAAATATTTGGAAACAACGAGTCCCTGGCCCAAATCAAAATGAAGGTGCGGGACAAACGAGGAGCCGAGGTATCCATCTGCAGGACGATGAAAGTTTCCAGACAGCGCGGCGTAATGACCTTCAAAACCATGGACTCCACTCTTAACTTTCTGACCGACGGTGGCCATCCGAAGCGCGACCAGGATTCCCTAAGCGGTCGGACCAACGACATAGACCAAGCTATCTCTGACTTCATGGGCGTGTCAAAGGCGATTATTAACAACGTCTTGTTTTGCCATCAAGAAGACTCCAGTTGGCCACTGGACGAGCCCAAGAAGCTAAAGGAGAAGTTTGATGCTATTTTTGGAATTTCTGAGTATGATAAAGCTTTGGATAAAATCATAAAGATGCGTAAAGAGTCCACAGAAGAGCTAAGGTTGATGGGTAAGAATGAGTCAAGTTTGAAAGACCTTGCTAACCAATAACTTCTTTGTTCCATAGAGGCCAATATAAAACATGTGGAGTATCTGAAGAAGGAAATGGAGGCAAAAACTCTGGCGCTGCAGAAGGCGCAGGAGAAGTGCAACAATGTTAAGACTCAGTGCAACGAATGCGAGGAGGAAATGAAGCCCATTGAGGCTCGTCTGATGGAAATTCGTAACATCGAACTAGAGATAGGAAAGTATCAGGCGCAAAAAGTGGAAATGGACACCAAGTAAGTGTTCTTAAATATAGTTTCCCCCTTTTTTACTTATTTATATCACTCGATAGACATAAAAATTGCAAGGAGCAAATTACCACTATTTCTAAGAAGATCAAGACACTTTTCGAGGGATCTTTGGTTGAGCTGGAGATGGAAATCGTAAACTTCGACCAGCGTATGACCGAGATGCAACTTCAGTGCACCGAAACCGAGGAAGAGCTCTCGCAGCTAAAGAAATCCAGTGGAATGGCCAAGGATAAGCTAGCCACGCAAGATAAAAAGCATGTTTTGGCCAAGCAACAACATCAGAGCGAACAGACTTGCAAGTCCCAGCTGCTTAGGCGGGTTAAGGAGTTCTGCCGAGATCTGCAGATTCCGATTGACGAAGATTCGATTGGGCAGCCAGAGAAGTTAGAGGAAGTGTTGCAGGACATCGAGGCGGTGATCATGAGCAAACACTGCGAGATAGCAGAGATTAGCGATCAGAACGACAAGGCCGATCAAAGAAGACAGGCCAAGATCGACGAACTGCGCATCGACTTGACCAAATCGGAGCAAAGCGTCGCAGCCCAGGAGAAGCAGCGAGAGCAGAGTAAACGCGAAAGCGAGACCCTCGAGGTGGACATCAAGAGGATCGAGGCCTCAATGCACGAGTTGAAGCAGCTGGAAAAGAAAATAGCTGATGCCAACGAACTGTACGAAAACACCTCGAAGAACTTTGATCAGCAAACCATGCGCGATGTCATTGCTGCCAAAAAAACATTCATTGCTGAAAAACAGACTCAGTTTAAGAAACTAGATGAGCAGCTGACTTTCCTGGGCTCCATGGCTAAGCTGGTTGCCGAAATCAGCCTCAAGCAAAAGGAATTGGAGAAGAAAACCCAGGAAGTGCATCGCGTGCGTAGCCGACACTCGGATAACTTTGGTAAATTCTTCAAGGAAAAAATTACCGCCAACTATCGCCGGTCAATGCAGGGAGCCTACGACAAATTGAATCGAGAAATCAAGGACCTAAATGAGAAGGCCAATGCCCAGAAGTTGAAGGAGCAGTCTTACGAGATAAAACGTAAGAATCTCATGGGGGATATTGCACGCATGGAGAAGGAGCTGAAGGAGAGCGAAGAGCTGATATTTCAAAAGTGTCGCTCCACTCCCTATGATGAGTTACTGGACCGAAGCAAAGTGGCCATTTCGAAGTTGCAGTTTGATCATGGGGCCCTCAAATCCGCCGAGGCTTTGTACAAAAAGTAAAGTCCTCAAACTATTACTTGAGAAATATTACTAAATTTAACTTTTTTCTAGGTACATACAAAAAATTGAGGAAGAACCATGTTGCCCCTTGTGCCACCACAATATGTCCGGTGATGAGGCCTGCGATCTGACCACAGAGCTGACCGATGAGATTCAGAAGTTGCCTGAGAATATAATCAGAGCCGAGAAAGCCCTTAAGACGGAGACTCTAAAATATGAGAACTTGCTTCAACTTAAGCCGAACATTCTGAAGGTTAAGGACCTGAAGGAGGCCTTGCCGAAAAAAAAAGAAGAGCTGAGGCAAGTCGAGGAGTTGCTGGGCGACAGCGTTAGTGAATATGAGACTATACTAGCGCTGATTGGCGAACCTACCCACAATATGGAGTTGGCCAATTCCATGATGGGGGACATGACTTTGCTAGACGAAGCTTTGAAGGAGTCAGCGCGGTTAGAAAAGGATCTGGAGCTGCAGAAAGTAAGTTATTTTAAATATTTGGATGAGTTCCTGTTTAATAGTCTGTTCTTAGGCCAAGTTACCTGCATCCTATGATTCAAGTGTTTCAATGGATGCTTTACAAGCAGAGAAAAGTCAGGTATCCAAGGACCTGGAAGCAGAACGTAAGGACTTGGAGACCCATCAGACCACATTCCAACAGCACCTGGATGCTCTAAATCGTGTTCGTGAAATCAAAAATGGGTAAAGTTTAAAGGATTTCAACTCTCACACACCTAATTTATAAATAAACCTTTCTGCAGGCTTAAGGATAGACAAATAAGACTGCAGGAGGGCTTGCAAAGCCTACCGCAGTTAAAGGAGCGATATGAAAAGCTCACAACATTCCTAACAACAGTGACTACTGAAATAAACGAATTAAGGGCCAAAATTCAACCTCTCAAGCAAGACCTGAGGGCTGCCGTGAATGAAAAGGAGCGCCTAAAGGAGAGTGAACGCACCCAGTTGGCCCAATTGAATACCAAATACAATTCCTACAAAAGTACAGATCAGGATATTCAAAGATTGAACAAAGAATCTCAGAACTACGCTAAATTGGACTTGAAAAGTGAAATCAGCAAACTTGAAGAGATTATTAAGACCACCAATGAGCAAATTAAGAAACTGGTAATGAATTTATTTATATTCTTAAATCACATGATTTTAAAATAATTTTTCTTAGGAAGTACAAATAGATTCAAAGGCTGCTCAAGTGGAGTCCATCAAGACGGAATGTCGCAACCAGCAGAACGTGGAGCGGGACTTAAAGGATAATCGCGAGCTGAAACAACTACAGGAGAAGGAATCCAAGCTTAGCGAAAGCTGTCAGGCCCTTTCTAAGCAACTTGGAAACTTGGATTTCCGCAGCGTCAACAAAGAGAAGTTGGAACTAACGAAGCGCCGGGATGCGTCCACTGTTAGGAAGGGAGAGCTGCTGGGCCAACTGGGGGAGATCAACTGCCAAGTCAAAAAGCTGGAGCAGGAGATTGATGAGCCAAAGTTGAAGGAGTCGTTCCAAAATTACCAAAAAGCGAACTACGAGCTGGTAGTCATGCGCCGCTGCATTGAGGACTTGGGCCAGTATCGAATAGCCCTGGAGTGGGCCCTCATCCAGTTCCATGCGGAAAAAATGGAAAACATCAATCGTCTGATTCGCGAGTACTGGCGCATGATATATCGTGGTAATGACATCGACTACATCCAGGTGAAGACCGATGACATCAGTGCGAATGCGTCGGCAGATCGACGCAAAACATACAACTATCGGGTGGTCCAGTCGAAGAACAACACGGAGATTGAGATGAGGGGTCGTTGCAGTGCGGGTCAGCGCGTCCTCGCTTCTTTGATCATTCGCATGGCATTGGCCGAAACCTTCAGCAGTAATTGTGGAGTGCTAGCTTTGGATGAGCCCACCACGAACTTGGATCGTACTAACATCACCTCGCTGTGCGATGCCCTTAACTGCATTGTGGAGGAGCGGCAAAGCCAGTCGAACTTCATGCTCATCATCATTACCCACGACGAGAATTTCATTTCGTCGCTGGGCAAGATAAACAGCTACCATCGCGTGTTCCGGAATGATGAGTGCAAGTCGGTTATTCGAAAGGTACAGGTTGGCTGAATGTTCGGTCCATCAAAGACACTATTAAGTGCCAATTAAATGTATAAAGTTTGTTATCAATACTTTTGCTTGTCGATTTATCACATCAATTAGAGGAAAAGGTAATTTCCCGCCCAAGATGGGGTTTGGCGTGGTGCCAGTTTCACTCTTCCGCCATGCTCCAAGGGTGGTTATTCGTAATTCTTGTTCCCCAAGCAGTCCTTCCTCATTCCATACAGTTTGGAATGATGCACTACACGGCCGTGCCCATTTTTGAGGCAGAAATATACACCAATAGGTCTGGGGATGTGGATGTGGTTTTCAAACAAAAGGTTTTAAAATATCAACATTTCAAATGGTTTTTATTAAGTATTTCTAATGCAGGGTCATTTGATTTTCTATATTAACCTGATTTTGATCGTTGACGAGAGCCAAGTAGAGTGGAATGGTGGAGCCTCAATTGTCAATGGTGGCATTGGATGCAACTTTACGTCCTTAAGGTTACTAAACATCCAAATGAAGGTGTCAAGACTGTCAGTACTTATATATGGTACACCCAGGTAGGTGATGTGTGTGTTTTCCCAAAGTATTTTCTAAATTTAAATGGCAATCAGTCTTTCTCTTGTGCATCGATAGGGGGCTTCCAGTGGTATCCATCATCCGGCAGATCGCTGCGTATCAGCGGTGAGATCCACGCCAAGTGCATGCGGTTGCCAAAGACGCTCCTAAGATTTTCGCGAACTCCCCGATCGTATTTGTGCTTGCTCTCCAAAGTGCGATCTGCGGATACTCCTCCTCTCAAAATGATGGGCACATGGTAGGCCAGAAGAAGAACGCCGTACAAAAACGCTAGGATATTCAGGCCGTAGAAGATGAGGTACATGTTGCCCCAGAAGTGGCCAGTAAAAAGGAGAAACAACGGGTTGAGCAGCTTAAACAAGGTCTGCCAGTGGCAGTATATGTGGGCTTGGAACACCCACAAGTAAATGGAGTTATACACCAGGGCATAAACGGATCCCACAAAGAGGTAGAAGATGAATCCCATGAAGAAGCGATGATTCCTGTGACCAATACAGCAGCCGGTGTATATGCAATGATGATCTCTCTTCAGGATGCAAACGCCACAGTTCTTGCAATGCCAAGACCTGGGCGGAGCCAATCTCTGGCATATTTCGCACTCTCGCCAATCCGAATGATCCTCCGGTGGTTCTATCTTCTTGACTGTAATAGTACACTTATTTGTTAGTTTGTAAGATACATTATTTAAGAGATACACTCACCGTCACAACTCGTATCGATCATCATACAGGCGATCATGTTGCTCTTGATATTAAAGACGAGGAACATGGCCATTAGAAAGTGCAGGGTGTGAAAGAAACTGCCGGGATCGTGGAAATTGGGAAGCACCACCACAATCTCGAACATGAAGACCACCGGCAGGGAGATGCCAATCAGAAGGAAGCACAATATATCCACCAGCCGGCGGGGCAGGGGATTTCTACGGATTCTCATGATCTCTACCTGTGATTTCTCAGAAAAAATGTAAACAAATACAAGGCCGATCGCCGGGTTGCCAGTGCCAGACTTATGTTGTCACGTGTAGCGAGTAGCTTTATTATCGAGCTTTTTCGGCCAAAAAGCTACCCGCAACCGCCGCCGAAAGTTCAAATTCAAGTTTCTTCAATGCATTCCGATAAGTGGCTTTAATTTAATATGATAAACTCCAAAGTAATAAATCAATTACAATTTGGTATCGGACGCGTGCAAGCGGAAAGCGCTGCCAATGCAGTTATCTTATCAATTAGGGTCACATGGCGTATGCTTGATGTCATGTCATACATACATATGCATATTGTAGTTGTGGGTGGGTCGTGTACATATATGCATGTACTCTTATTTAATGGCCGATGGCAAAGCTGGTATTGAGAATTTAATTAACTTGAAAGGACTTACTCCATCACAAATCACTGTAATCAAGGAAGAGCCTTAATTAACATTGGTCTTTAATAAGAGTGTCGACAGCTGAATGATTTCGAATATCAGGTACTTATAGTTGTAATGCAACAGGATTAAGTAAACAGTTGAAAATGGAATTGTCGGCGACCCACAAAGCTAAACGTCAAGGCTCCTCCTTGTTTCTGCTAAAGAGCTTCATCAGGAGTCTAAAGGACTTCCTGAACCAGACTGGTCTGCATGGCTTGAAGTTTGTGGGTGACTCCAATCTTAGCAGTTGGGAGAGGTAACTTTGTAGTCATCCCCCATCAATCTCTGTTTTAAGTCCCTATCTTGTAGATCCTTTTTCTTTGGTTCTTTTGTGACTGCTTTCATAATAACTATCCACCTAATATCGAATATCTACGTGAAATGGGACAGTACTCCGGTGATAATCGGTATAAGTCCGCATGCCACATCCATATTGAAAGTTCCCTTCCCGGCCATAACCATTTGTAACATGAATCAGGTTCAGAAAAGTCTGGTGGAAAAATATAGAGAGTAAGTTGGAGTGATTTGTCCTGAAAAGTCTTTTAACATAAGCATTTTAAGAGGTTCCTTCGAAAGTGCTCTTTTGAAACTCCTCTGCGGCTCTGATAAATGGCAATCCAGTGAGTTTGATGATGATCTGAGTCTCCTGAACATCGCTGGAAACACCTTGAGTATCTCCGACTTTGTATCGAATCACTCGCAACCGTGCGAAAGGATGTTGCTCTACTGCAGATTCAGTGCCGTTGTCCATAATTGCAGAGACATGTTCCAGCAGATAATGACCGACGAGGGATTGTGTTGTGTCTTCAATTTTGAGCCTCCAGAATACCTCTACAAGCCTTTGTAAGATTAATGTTCCAAAAGCTCCAAATTCCTTAAAATTCGATTTTCGTCAGTGCCGATAGTGGAAGAAACCTCACAAATGGTTTCGGTCTTCAAGGAGTGAAGTGGGATCCAGAGTCTGGCTATCCAGAAGAGCTCCCACCTAAATTTTTTCCCTCCACAGCAAGTGGTAGCTTATTTATAGGAAGGGTAATACAAAATCTATTCTTAGGTATATTTATTTTAAGGAACTGGCATAACTTTGGGGTTTACCGCCGTACTCGATGCCCAAATAAGTGAATACTACTGCTCTTCTACCAATGGACCTGGCTTTAAGGTTAACTCTTTGGCTTATGGCTAGTCTAGTTATAACGATACTCTTGTAGGTTTATTTCCACAATCCCATAGAGGTCCCTATGGTCAAGGAGGCGGGACTGATCACTGCCATTGGCTATGAGACCAACTACCGGATAGAAATGGTCAGAGCCGAGGCTGTGGCAGCCATACGATCCATATCCCGTGAAGGGCGTCAGTGTCTTTTCAAAAACGAAAAGGACCTCATCTTTTACAGAATCTACACCCGTCTTAACTGCGAGAACGAGTGCATGTCCGCCTACCTGTACGAGTCGTGTTCCTGCATTCCCTTCGACTTCCCGAAGATATACAGCAATGCCTCCACCTGCACCATGCTGGACACATTCTGTGTCCGTCGAGCCCAGCGTTCCACAAATCGGCCGCGCTGGGCCAAGTGTCGGAGTCAGTGCCTGCCCACCTGCTTCGATTTGAATTACCTGGCCAGTGGCTTCTCCTTCCCCTTGGCTGTCAACGATTTTCTGCTTGCCAATCCTCTGGTGGAGAGCATCAACAAATCGTATTTGGGCGAGAATATAGCGGTCATTAATGTGTACTTCCGGGAATCGGTCTATTACGGTAATATGAAGAATGCCTATGTGGGATTGACGGAGTTTCTATGTGAGTTTTTGCATTACAAAAACCCAAGCCGTTATTTCATAGAAGAAAGTATCGTTCCAGCCAATGTCGGTGGTGTAATGGGTCTCTTTATGGGCTTCAGTGTCATCTCGCTTGCGGAATTACTATACTTTCTAATTCTGAAGCCGCTCGTTGAACTTTTTGTTTGGAAAAGGACTTCTTCCCACGTGGCCTCGGAGAGTAGTCTCAAACAAAATCCTGGCATAGAGCAACCTGATGGCATCGATAACCAAAGTTTCTGGCATGTACGAGAACTTTATCCCAAGGGTGTGGCATGGGAGGCGAACGGAAGGGGTAGAAAATTAAAAAGGAGCAGGAATATTATAAATTCCTTTGTTCAGTGAATTGTGCGCCTGGGAAAAAAAAGGATTGCGAAATATTATTTATGTATTATCCTAGAAAGGCGAATGGCTGAATATGTTATGGATGCCACGTCATGCAAATCATTCCCTGTTCCTAAAAGCAGAACAAAAAACCCAGAATAATTGATACCGCCACGATACAAAAAATCCTTGCACGTATAAACAATAAGTTGAAATTAAAAATACAATGTAGTAGACCTTAAAAAACAAAGAATATTTAAAAGTAAATATTTAATGTTCTATAGAAATACATGAAAAAGGGCCAGCGATCTTTATTAATAGTACGATTAAATTGTTAAAGAAAGTTTAGTTTGCAACTTTGATGTACACATATGCGTACGTATCCTTTAACAGCCCCATCGGAGGACTTGTTCCTCCGTCACTTCGAGGAATTCTCGCAGCTGGAACAGATGTGTCCGAGGTCCGAAGGTCGGTAATAGAATCCTCTAGCCCCTAATGCAATTAACAAAGTTTCCCGGTTAAGGAGGCAGTCGGGCGGGGAGGACAGGGTTGTTGCCTGTGTACCCTGCTTATTTATGCCACATACTCGTATTTTATGCCGATAAGAGCATTTTGGCCAAAATTACTTTTTGCCGCCAAGGCGGAAAAAGCTTAAACTGTTCTATATATACGAGTATGTAAATACACATCGTACATTGTATGAATTTCGGTAGTAAAACAAGAATTGCTTTCGGCTGGCTCTTTTCAAGGGAAGAACTGTTGAAGATGGCACGTTTACAGCGTGGTGGCGGAAATTCTTTTGCCCGGTACATGCTCCGGTTTCTGAGCGTTAATTGCTGACCTCAACCTGCACATAAAGCGACTAATTTTCGCACAGAACCCTCAAGTACTTGTCCTGCATTTCTGCATGAATTCTGCGGCATAGTTTTCCTTCGAAGCATCCTGCACTGAAAAGAACAACAATCATTATAAGATGATTGCTATAATATTCTCAAATTTAAAAATACATTTTTATGTCCTTCTCAAAAGTGAAAAATTAAAAATATTAAAGTGGTGTTTGGCTTACAATATCCCAGAGCATGTTTAGAGACTCCTTTTATTGTCGAAGTGCTGGCACTTCCTGTACCCCCTACCTTTAACCCAGCTGGATAGAATTTCTTAAACAGCCCGAAGGCTGGCACAACAAAAAGGGATAAGGATACCGGAGGATACCAGTGGAAGATGATGCCGCTGCCGCTTCCTAAGCAGTGGCACTACCGGCAAAAACGGAATGAAATGCATTCGCACAGTTGAAGACAATTTGCAAAATTGCATCGCTCTTGATGTTTTCACGTGCATTCCATCTGTTCTCCAGTCTCGAGTTTTTATGGCCAAGTCAACAATGTGCTGGTGCTGGTCGGAGACAGTCCGTTTCATGGCTATAGTAATTGGGAGAATTCACATACCGAAAACAACAAGAATAAATAAAATAAAATAAAATAAAATCCCTTGGCCACTGTCATGCAATTGAATATGTTTATATCAAATGAAAGCTGTTTGCCTTCTGAACTCTGGTTTATCTATGTCAGCTTATAAGATTATCTTTTCCCCACATTTATTTGCTTACAAACGTCCGACAATTTTGAAATGCACTGTAGGGTGACAGAGGAGAGGATGGGGCAGGTCGGGCAGGTTGCAAGAGCGGGGGCTTGCGTGTTTTGGGTTTGCCATCTAAAACCGAGTACAAAAAGCTTTGCTCTCGACCATCTTTCAAGCGATAAGACAACTGGTGCAAATGATTACGACGTGTTCCCCGGCCATGTATATCTCGAGAAGATCCCTTCAAAGGGAGTGGAGGGGGGGTACGAGAAGGACAAACCCTAGCTGGGGCTAGGATGCTTCGTAAATGTCAAGACCAGAACTAGATTCAATTCTTTATGGCCGTGTTAACGAGCCAATTCAGCCCCTCCGGTTTTGCAGCACAACTTTGGCACTGAATGAAAAATTATGCCATTAAAATGTTGAAACCGAACCACAAATAATCCTTAAAGCCAACTCTGGTTAGTTTCCAGTGAGAAAGTTGGAGTCTCAGCCGGAGGGGAAGTCGACCCAACAACACACGAGTAATTAACACAAAATTTTCTACCAAAGTTATCAACTTGACAATAAAGTTTTCTTCCCACGAAAATCTCTATCTTTGGCGTGTCTCCTTGAGACACAGTCACCTGATTAAGGTATAAATATTTGATTCTAGTGTGGGCCAGGCCCAAACGGGTTGTCTTGTATATGTCTTGTTGTTGTTGTTGTTGTCTGAACGGAGGACTAAGGACTAGAGACTGAGCAAAAGTGCGACAGCATTGTCAACTTTATGGGCTTCCTGTCGCACCCGGCTCAGTTATGCATGAAGTGTATTCATCAAAATGAAGACTTGAGAATGTCTGCGTAAATGCTGCACGTGTGGCATTGAGGAGGATGAATTGTATATATTATATGTATATTTTTGGCTGCAACTGGAGGCAACAAATTGATCGAATGCCGGTGGAAGCTCTAGAAAATTACACAAACACATACGCAGTCTCCGGTGCAGAGAAGTTGCTGGCGGAAAAGCAATTAAAACTTCTTGTCAGTGTCTCGGAAGTGTTTGTTCATATTTTATGATGTTTTCGTGTAGAAAGCTGGATTATGAATGTGTCACCAAGAAGTGTTGCCAGTGCACCGTCGCACCGTCTCATTCGCTCTCTCATTTTTCTATTCACTTTCTGTCTCTGTCTTTCAGGACATGCAACAAGCCGTCATTGAGGTTGCAAGAGTAATGTATAAAATATCACACATCCGCCCCATTGGACGGACTTAACAAAGAAGAACCTGACAAATTTTAAATTCCCCAGACCATGCCCCAAGAACTTTATGCGGAAAACAAAAACATTAAACACGGCTCGAAGGACATTCTGACCTTTTGTTGGCCAATATTTTGATTAAATAATTTATGGAATGTTAAAAATTTTGTGCCATCAAGTGAAATATGGCATTTGAAAGGAGGTTTTTCCAAGCCAGTCCATAACACTTAAGTGCATCGATATTTTACTGAAGCATTTTTGTCGTCTGCCACTTAGAAGGCCATGGCTGCTAGTTGCAACCACAACTAAAGACCTGTTATAATATTGGGCTAATGGAATCGGCTCCAAGCGGTTCGCGTTGCAGCCATAATACCATCCACCTATGGCTGTGTATCCAATATCGTGCCACTCATATTTGCCTGCGGCGGTGGTGGCTCATAAGAATGGGTGACGGTGGGTGGGGCGGCTTCCCTGGATGCCCGAATATATGCAGCAGTTGTCGACCTGACATGCTGCACCAAAAGCAGCAGGTGCAGGAATTGCAGCATCCCACCTGCCTAATGCACCAAAATGCATTTGAAATTGGGTAATTTTACAGATGCAGCGCCACAGGCGGTGGCTGAGGTGGCAGCAACAGCAACAGCAACAGTGGCAGCAATATGGGGCTTAAAAATGTATTTTGGCTTTTTGGTTGGACAGATAGAATTCGTTGCAGCAAACATTTCGCCGGGATACGAGGTCCGGGCGTCAGAGGAGGGGCCATGTATAATGTTGGCTGGGTGGATAAGTCCGACCGTCTGAATAATCAGGACCATCAATCAGGACCACGGCGAGCCCTGCACACCTCATTAGGCTAATCGTACAATTGCGCACGGCCGGACACACACAAACAAGGGTTAACCGGGCTAAGAGCAAGCCTGAGGGGCCTGACGGTCCTGGTGAGTGGCCTGAGCGGCACTTCCGGGGAGAGGGGCCCCATTACTGGTGCCGGCCGGGCTTAGCTTTACCGCAATTTGCCCTCGTGCGCTAAACAATATTTCATTTTTAAGAGTTGACTTTTCACGCTTGCCGACAAGAGGCTTAACATTTTAAATCCATTGTGGCGTCACCGCAAGGACTTTTCGACTTTGCCTGCTATTTTATTAATGTGCCAGTACTAGGCCTTTGTGAATGTATAATCAGTGAATGGGAGTGCATATATTTGCCTGCGTACTTTGTAATTATATTCCAAAAAATTCGATATGGAGCGGGAATGTTTTGAAAAAAGCCAGGAGTCACTTCCTGAAAACCAGTCACTGAAGCGAGAGTTATTCGAGTGTTTTGTTTTGAATTCTGTGGGAGAAAGTCTTCCCAGTATTTTGGATGTTTTCTGCGCAGAATCCAGAATCCTTAAAAGGGGGACAGCATCCACAGGGGCTAGAAAAACCAACTGTATGTAGCTTTAGGCTTAGTCCTCCACAGATGGTCGAAAGAGTCGGTTGCAGCTGTGGCATCCTTCTGTGGGTGGCTGGTACTAGCTGGCCTTCCTCAAAACACACAAAGGACGAAGCAAAAACAACGAGAGTATGAAAAATTGCATTATGACTCTAATGCTGGAATACAAAGTGGTGACGAAACAATACCACGCGATGATTTATTGCCCACACGTCACTCATACGCCCTGTTGTCCGGCGTGGTAGAATGCTTTTTGAAGTTACTGCCACAATTGCATTTAATTGATCTATGAGTTTTCATTTAAAAAACGCTTTATCCTAAACGTCTCATATGGCGAAACTGTAATTAAAAACCGAAATAACTAAAATTGCCAATGGTTTCCCAATCAAAACCAATCTTTTATTCGTCAGATGTCCATAAATTGATAAATTCCATTTTATTTGATAACTGCCCTCCTCACACCCATATCGTGCCATTGGCACGTACCAATACAAACTTTCCATTCATATCAAATTCGATCTAACTGCGAGCTAATTAAATGACACCAGGACCCATACAAATATTCCCAGAGCTGAGCTGCAAATAAATCGTTGGTAATTCATTTTCCCCTGGACTCGACCATGATTGTTTGCCTGGCCTACTGCCTGGTGGCTACTGGCTAGTGGCTATTCTGGGCACTCTGTCCAAGTCAATGCAATCGGATGAGAATCGCAGCTTTTCCTAATCGCCTGGCTTTATCCTGCGTAATAATAACTACTTTCAGGGGCTTTTCTTTAAGGACTTGGCATGCTTTGTTCTTCCTTCTTTTAGTGTTCCTTTGCTGCTTTTTTTTCGCAGTTTCCTTTGCGTGACAGCTCATGTCTTGTTTATCTAAATCATCCGACTGTGTAAATGCCAGGCCTGTCTTCCTGCCGGATCCGTGTCTCCTTACCCCGACCCCCGGACACTCTTCAGGACACGGGCGACTTGGGCGGGCGTGGGAATGACGATGGGCATGGGGATGAGTTCGTGTCATCACATGGCAATGAGTGAATGACTTTGTCGACTAAACTGTTTTCCACAGTTCCACTGCCGGTCCGTCTGTCTGTCGGTCGCTCGGTCGGTCGGTGGGTCGTCGGTCTGCTATGCAAAAATCCATCCAGTCGAGGCAACAATGGCATGTGCGAGTGCTTCAGTTAGTTGGGTAATTACGGCATCGTTGCACATTTCACTTCCATAGATTCAGT